GATCACAATCAATCTAGTATCTGATATTATCCAAACCACAATTTGTATGTAGTAGAATTCCTGTACCTGTGCTACTTTAACTAAAACTGTTTCCTGAGGTAAATAGTTGCAATGTCAGTTACACAGAAAACCCCAAAAACCCACAAACAATTCTAAACACTATGAATGAGTTATGATTTCAGGGCCAGCCAAAAAATTAGATGTGGGGGTTTTGTTAAAAGGTGCACACATCAGAAATTGTGCTGAAAGCTGAGTTTTTAAATGTTAGAAACTAACACCCATTTATAGCACAACTGTGTGGTTCTGCAAAAGATGGGTTGTGTCAGATGGAAAATTGACTTTTATTTTTTCATTATTACTTTTGACACCTGACCACACTGTTGCATTCAACAGCAGCAAAGTTACTAATGCCATGCTTACCTTTATACTGACTTCAGTATGGAAACAATATACAATTGCAAGAGAAAAGACCTGCCAGGACTTGAGGTAAAAAAATTTAAAATAACCATCTTAATATCTCAATTAAAAAATGAGAACATTCTGAGTGAAGTAGTGATATACAGCCTGCAAAACTACTTGTTTACAATATACAGAAAGATAAGGAGTGATTGTATCAAAGGATGTGTATAAGCACCTCACCAGCAAAAAAATGCAAACTAAGTATGTTAAAGGCCTGAATACTCTTGCAAGATGTAGGATTCCTGCCTTGCAAAGTAAAAGAAAATTAAAGAACAAATTTAAGACTAAGCAAAAGAGCATGAAGTGTGAAAATGCAATCAAGGAAATCTGGAGAGGAAAATATATATTATATATATTTCCATACATTTTTCCTTTTTGGTTTTGGCTTTTCACAAGATATATATATATTATTGCTGCTCTTAATACATAAATACAATTGTTGTGGATTGAAAAACAAAATATAAATGCATGCTCATTTTTGTTGCAGCTGTTCAGAGGGAATCCAAATGGCAGTTCTTCTGAAATTTTGCTCAGAAGGAGACAACATCCCTGATGCATTTGTTCTTGTTAACTATCTCAATGAATGGCTCCAGCTAATTAAAAGTGAAGTAAGTATTGTTTGATCCAAAGTTCTTGCTTTCATATTTTATATCAATTATTTTCATTTTTCTTCAGTCCAGATGGGTTCATTTTGGCCAAATAAAATATATAATTGTATTAAAATCTCACTGGAAGTTTCCCCACCTGAAAAAACAAATCTGAACACCAGTTCTTTTGTTTGACAGGTGTGGGCAAAAATTGTGCAAAGGTTTGATGGAATTTTCTCTTCCAGTGCCTTTCTCTAAAGCAACCCACCGTGACACTGACACTCGTACTGCTGCCCATGATTTTAATACCTGTGCCAGTTACATCATTACTACTTAAAACTTAATTATTCTGGGTTTGTTGCAGAGCAACAATTCCACAGATCCTTCTTCACAGTGGAAGATACCGAGTTCTTGGCGCTTACTTTTTGGCAATGGTCTCCCACCTGCCCTCTTCTGATCAGCTCTGAACTCGCTGTGAGTTGCAGGTGTCCCTTGAGGTGATGATCACACAGTAATTGCCAAGGAGCAGGAGCTTGCTTTGGTGTCTACATAAATGCTTTATTTAAGAAAAATTTCTTTTGTGTATGTGGGTAGTTAAAGAAATTACGGTAACTTTCACAAACTCACCAAAGAAATATGTTTTGTACAGTTGTTTATTGAGTGACTTTGGTTGGAAGTTTTTTCTAATAAAATATTTTTTAAGAAACCTTTTTCCCTGGTTAAGTGTTACTGCCATGGACAAGCTTAAGGTGCTCCTTTTTAATGCCACTGAGAACTGAGTGATACGTAGGCATAGATTTTATTGGAAGATAAAACCCTACACTTACACCTCATCTGTGGATTTTAACTTTTTTTTCAAGACTTCCTGGTGAGGTAAGTGAAAGTCCGAAGTGATCTGGTTTTGCCTTCTTTTCCCAAAGCTGTTGTGGTAGCTTCAACTAGGGAGACTGCAAGCAGTGTAACAGCCTGTTCTGTCTTTTCTGTCTGCATAGAGTCATAGAATAGTGTGTGTTAGAAGGGATCCTGAAGATCCTCTAGTTCCAACGCCGCTGCTGTAGGCAAGGACACGCTCCACTAGACTGGGTTGCTCAGAGCCCCAGCCAACCTGGTCTTAAACACTTCCAGGGATGTGGCATCTACAACTTTTCTCGGCAACTTGAGCCTGTGCCTCACTACCTTACAGTAAAAAATTTCTTCCTAAAATCTAAGAGGTTTTCCCTCTTTCCTCCCTTTAAAGCATCACCAACAGAACACTTTCCTGTCACAAAGTTACTCTGAACATTTTGTGCATACTTTATAGCAAACATAAAAAGGATTACCAAACTGACTGGTCAGATTAACAAATATTCTGAGTGGTGTATTACAAAAGAAATATGCAAGAGTTCCTCCTAAATCAAACTACAATACTTAGCATTAATGAAAATACTTGCACAAAGCACACTCTAATAATTTTGCCATTTTCCTAAACCTACTCTTAGTTTGAAACCAGTTCCCTTTATACTTTCACTACATGCCCTTGTAAAATGTCCTCCTCCAGCTCTCTTGTAGGGTCCCTCTGGGAACCGGAGGCCACAATTAGGTTACCCCTGAGCCCTCTCTTTTCCAGGCTTCTATTTCCAGACTTCTAGTTCCATTTCCAGAAGCTGCTAAGATGCTGAAACGAAAGCTTTCTAGGTCAATGAGCCTTCTAGATTGAACATTAATACAGTGCTCTGAAATAAAAAGAAATCAGGGAACCTTGCCTGATACCAGGCAGTCTGGTATCTGTGCATTTTACAGGCTTAGTCTGAGACAGCAGTTGTGTGATGGACAGTTCACATGTTCAGTGTTTGTCGTGGTACTTGCTGCACTATAGCATTTAGCTATGTGTTCAATTTTGACCTTTTAGAAGTGCTTTATCACAGCTGATTTAAAAACTTCAGATCATGGATGGTCAATTTTAGAGTTGAGACATGAGAATTAACCAAAATACATTTTTAGGAGTTCCCACAGGTATCCAGACTGGTAAGCTGGCAAGTCAAAATGCAGATGCAGTCAGGGAATGAAACAAAAGGCCACGTGTAGCACAAGGCTAGTCTGATAAGCCTAAAGCTAGTTGGAAAAATAACCATATTCAAATTAAGCCAAGTGACTACGAAGTGTATACAGAGCAGGAGAGCAAATTAAGTCTTGAGGGACTGAAGGACCAGACAGAAGCAATGAAAGGGGTGTTCTTTCTTCACAATGCTTTCCTTAAGTGAGTCATAGATGTTCACTACCTCCTCAAGAGCAAAACCTTGAGAAGGGAAAAAGAGAACACTGGGAATACTTTCTGAAAGAGAAAATCCTCAGGGCTTTCCTATTCCCTGTGAAGAAGGTAGAGGGCAGTCAGATTCTTGCGAGAAGAACAAGGACGCAGCTTCTCCAAGGCCGGCAGTTCTGCGGGCAGCGCTGCCCTTCGCCCTGAGCCACTCCTGCCTCCAGTGCCCCGGACAGGCAAGCGCAGCCCCTGCACACATTAAAACTTTCCTGCAGGACAAGGCTGCACCTTTGCTGTGCTGTTCAGATGGCTAGCAAAAGTAAAAACACCTCTGCAACACTGCCCTTGAGCATGGGGAAATAAAATGGCAGTCAGTAAATCACAGCTTGTTCACTTGGAAAAAAAACCCTTTCACAAGTCTGATCACTTTAACCTCACTTCGTTAAAGGTTACAAAGACACACTCACTTGGTCCTTTCTCTCCTCTTCCTTCACTTGTTAAAATACTTTCCCAACAGTAGTCATGAAGCGGGGCCTGTGTAGAAATAACCACACAAGTACACAGGTCTGAAAGCAAGACTTCTCCTGTCACAAGACAGCACTCAACAAACCCCAACACCACCCTGGTTTTGGTTCTACCCTGATCTGCTTTGCCGGTTCATTGAGTTGGCTGACATCAACTTTATTCCAGCATCTCAGTAGCTGAAAACGATGTAAAAACTAAGGACAATCAGCATTTTTATTAGGATACTCAGCTGGCTATGCCCCACAAGATAAACTAGTTGTATGTCATAGCAGCAGGTAGAATAAGGCACAGGAACATTTCTAGTAGTCATACACTGTATGCTTACTCACAGCTCTGAAAATAATGAAAACCTAAACCATAGCTAAGGGTAAAAGGCATGAATAGCTGAGAGCTTTATCCAAAGATGTCCCAAGTGGTATAAACAGGCCCTGTTCCTGTAATCAACAATAGCAGTGTTTGTTGCAGTGGTTTTGGCAGAGCTTGATCCTTTGCTATAAACACTCCTAGTTTCACAGCTGCACCATCTTGAACATTAAATCTGAATCCAGTCACAATGTTGTTTTTTCCTTCAGCATAGGCTCAGAACAGTGGTAATGATGTAAAGAAAAAAAAATTTGGACCAACTAGACTGGCAATTTAGACTATTTCAGGATGGTGTCAAGTGTGTCTTTAGCTCAAGTAATAGCATTAAGTACTCCCCTGCTTTGGCTTCCCCTTCAAGTTCAACACAACTCTGAATATGACTGCTTTCATGAATGGGTCTCAAGACCAAGTTTGGTAAAATTTCAGGCTGCTGCCTTTTTTAGCAAAAACTGTCTGAGTTGGCCTAGATTCCCTCCTCTTCCACACTTCACTTTCAGTAACTATATGACTTGTACAAAAACCTGTTAAAAATATGCAAGGTGCAAATTCCATGCAGAACATCACCACATGCCAGTTTAGACAGTCACAGAAAATATATAGAGTTCTGTGAGTTAAGGTTTATCTGAAACCATCAGAGAACAAATGCAGAATGGAGATCAACTGTTACAGAAAGCACAGGGCTGAAAACCCTCCTGGCCTCATTGGAAGAACTCCTTTAAGCAGCACTCTGCCTTATCCATTTCCAATCCATCCTGACTACATCAAGAACACTGACAGAATGTGGGAGACATGAAGGAAAATACTGTACATAGAACACACAGCAATGGCACAATCCAAAACCTGTTTAATTAGACACCATTGACTTTTGTGCGCTTCATTTTTGTTCCTCAGCTCCCATTAACTACGCACGATCATGGGTCAAGAGAGGCAAGGTTTTCCCTCTTTCCTCCCTTTAAAGCATCACCAACGGAACACTTTCCTGTCACAAAGTTACTCTGAACATTTTGTGCATATTTTATAGCAAACAAAAAGGATTACCAAACCGACTGGTCAGATTAACAAATATTCTGAGTGGTGTATTACAAAAAGAAATGTGCAAGAGTTCCTCCTAAATCAAACTACAGTACTTAGCATTAATGAAAATACTTGCATAAAGCACACTCTAATAATTTTACCAATTTCCAGTTAAGACAGGTAGCAGGAAACCTTAAGGCAAAACCCTTCTTTTTCCACAACACACACTCTTAACAGGTTCTCCCTAACATAACGCGCACAAAACAGCACATCATCAATTTAAAAAAATATTTAATGCTGCCAAAAAGTATAAAAATACAATAAGAATGGCAGTACAAAACAAAATACTTCCTAATTTATTTCTTTTACATCTTTCTACATTAATACAGGCATTATAAAAACAAAAGATGGCATATTATTTTGTTTTGCAAAGTGGCACACGCTGCTGGTGGTCTTCATCCCCTCGGTGCAGTTTACGCTGTAAACAGATAACTGAGGTCTTCTTGGTACTTAACAGACCTCACTTTTTGTTCCCGAAGAGGGGGGTCATGTCTCGCTTTGCATGTCAATAATTTGCAGTTTATAGCTGCAGAATATTCACAAGTCTCGAAGGCTTAGGTGTCAGTCAGTCTCGGCCTGCGACATACAACCAAAAGAAAGTCACCGATTCAGTACAGAGTACGGGGATAAAAAACAACAACAAAAAGAAGAGCTAAGAACTGACAGTGGGTTTGCAGCTCGCTGTCAACACCAAACAGCTTCTCATGTGCTCCCTGCAGCAACTACTGCCTCTGATCAGCTACTCTTGGAAAGTCGTTGCTTTTCCAGAACATATTTCAATGTTACAGTATAAGGCACATCCTTGCTGGAGAGTCTCAAGCACAGGTCTCAGTTCAGCAAACCACTTCCTCACACATGTAACTATAAGCACTGCAGAAGTCTCCTTGGGCCTCAGAGGGACTGTAGCAGGCTACATCTCAAGACACATCACCTCTCACAGCTCTGGAGGCAAATTCTGCTACAGCAGCTCAAAAGTAACTGTTTCTAGGAAGAAGATTTCCTGTACTGAAAAAGACAACCCAGCACTAGACATTTTGTTCTTAGGCAAGGGAAGGCTCTACTCCCAGAGTCTACAGAAAAAGACCTTGGTGTTCACAGCACCACGTCCCCAAGCTACTACAGGTAAAATGCGTCTGAGTTCTGCAAGCACTACGCTGATTCATAAAGCAGCTTTCCTTCACCAGTTATGACACACTGAAAGAGGGCTTCCAAGTATTTATCCTTCCAATTTAAATAAAGACTCCGACAGAAATGCAATTTTGAACATGTTTTATTTTTTGTACATAAAAATGAAAGACTGACTTAAAACTTTGGGGGCAAACAAAAAGGCCCAGGAAGACTACTGTGTATCACGTCACCTTTGCAAATACCGTCCTCTGGCTTAAGCCACTCGGCCCTGCAGAAGACTTCCTCTTTTGTCATTTTTAATTTAGTTTCTCGTGCAGTCCTCAAGTGTCTCAGGTTTTACTATAATGCCAAACAGCAAACTAAATAATTTGGTTTACATTCATTAAACATAAAGCTAACCAGGCTTTTTCATCGCCTGCATGAACCAGTCACACATACATGCATACACATTTACGCCTCTTCCCTTTTCAGGGGGACATAAACTGATGTCAGTAAACCATAGTACTCGAGGTTTAACAGAATAAGCCACATTTCACTGGCAACATCTCACTTCCATAACAAATCCAGAGTTTTTTTCCAAATTGCTATTTCACACTGAATTAAATTATTTTACTTAATACATTTCAAGGAAAATACAGATGTACCGTCACTAAGTGGACTGTCCCTGCACCAAGAACACAAATAGGAAACCTAGAGGATTAATTCCAATCTTGCAAACCCCTTGCAGTGGAGGTCCAAATGTTTGCTAGGTATTTTTTTATGAAAATGTGCATGATTTGTACATAAGTGTTCATCTGAGAGTCAAACATTGTTTAATCAGAGATGCCCACTATGCATCAAATATTTTGACTGATGCATTTCCAGAGAAGAGAGGAAAAACCAACACAGTAACATTCTGAATTGAGCCCAATGACATTTTAGAAGTAGCATGGGACCAGCCAACAGTTTGCCAGAAATCAAGGAGGGGTCAGAAGGCATGTCCTTCAATTTCACCCTTTAAGCATTTCCTATGATAGAGGTGACTGGGATTGATAGTTCTTCATTTTGGCCCATATTTGTTCCTATTTCACATCCAAGCTGTGCAAAACTGCTGCAAATTTAAATCCTCCAGAATAATAAAGTATCACAAGGGCTTAGTGTGCAGCAAGGAAAGCAATCCTCCAGATTTTGGGTTTTAAGGGTTTGTGATGGACCAGAAAGACTTTTATCCAAATTATTTCCTGGAATGTACAAAGAGACCAATCATTTGATTTTCCTTACTATTCTCATACTATCATGAACAATTCACTGTTCAAAATAGTTTTGTCCAAGGCTTGTACTGGTTCATCCTCCTTAAATTCTTAACAGTTAAGACTCCCAAGGTACTTGCAATCACAGAACCAAACTTTTACAGAACAACTGCTGAATGTGCAAGTCCTGCTTTATTGCATCAAGAAGGTAACAGAGTGTGAGGTGATCTGAATTGGCTGCCCCCTGCCCCACCCTGAACTGAGGAATGCTTACTCAGGGATCAAGAAAACCAAAAAGCCAGGATTTAGAAGATGGAATCAAGAAAAAAAAAATCAAGTGACAACTTGACAAGCTGTAGTTAAAGCTCAGTGCCTGTAGGTTACTGGTAGCCCAGGAAATCCTCCTCATGCCAAAAGAAGGGCAATAAATGACAGTGTGGTATCAGTCCAAGTTTCGCCTGCACTTTTTCCTTAGCTGCTTTTAAGTATCTAGAATAAAATCTGGAATATTTCTGTTACAAAAGCATTTAAATTACATTCCATGCATTTTTCCATAACCAAAATATCTTTATAAGGCACATACATTTACACCTACTATCAGTTACAGCTGATGCTGAAAAACCTGTCCTCAATTTAAAATAAAAAAAATCTTTTGACAGTCTTCTTGCTGGCTGAAAGTTACTGTGGTTGCAAAAAATTGTGAAATGTCTTAAAATACATGAGCTGCCTGCCTGTGCTATGTCCAGCAGTCAGCTGTCCCAGCAGTCATTTTGCTATTCAAGCTGCACAGTTGGTCAGCAATACCATGGAACAAATTGTCTTGTTCTACTGATGCACAACTTCCTGAATCCAGTACTCCATGAAACTACACTTATTTTCCTCATTTGGACCCTTCAGCTTTTGTTTACTATACAAACAACATAGTCCAGAATAGTATCAGCTATTGTGAAATGAGAATTTTAAAGAGTAAACTGTACTTAGCTCTGTGTAGTAAATGTCAGAGTAATTGAGCCCCATGCCTCATAAGTGACTATCAAGCTTGGACATACTGGAAAATTTTGAAATCAATTCCTTTGAATAAGGAGCAAATTATCATCCAGCTCTTTTGAGTATTTTTCAGCAGTACATCCAAAAAGTGCTTTACAAAATGGGGGAGGGGGTGGAAGAAAACCCCCAAGACCCCACACCCAACAGAAAACAACCAAGCTTAGAAAACGGAATGAGAAAATAGACCTTCTCTGAAGTTACCCAACAAGGCAATGCTTGAATAAATAAAACTCCTGTTTCAAAGTACAATCCAATCCTACAAATTACTAGTTCCCAACTTGAACAAGAAACTACATTCAGCCATATACCATCTCTGTATTTAAAGGTAATTTAAAGGGCAGAAAGTGGTTCGTGTTGAATTACTATTTAGAAAGTGTTACTACCCAAGTAATGGAAAGGGAGTGCTCAATAATTTTAAAGGGGCTGTAGGAGATACTCCCAAAATATTAGTCATCAATTGTTTTACTAGCATGTCTCTAATATAGTGCTGGGGAACTTGAGCAACAGTTCTAGACTTTGTGAAGCTACCAAAGTGGCCCATACAGCTGAAAACACTGGGTAAGGCAGAACACTACCTACATTTCTTTTCTGTTAGAGCCACCCTTGGAATTCCAAATGCCATTTCCTTTGATGTGTTTTCTACAACTATTACTGATGAATTCTTTTTGTTCTTTCTAACAATTAAAATCTATAGACACACAAAACATTATGTTTTACATTTAATGGAATGTAACTTGAACAATGTTGGCCTTCAAACAGTAGCTGAAGTCTGAATACATTAATCAACAGCATGACTTTCAGTGGGGGCTAAGTTCTCAAAAGCCTTAAAAAAAAATCCAAGTCTTACTTAAATAATGAAAACTATAAAAAATAAATAAGGAATGCAAATTAACAGAGTAGAAATTGCCAAGTGCTCCATCAGACCCCTAGCTGCTCATTTCAAACTGGAGAGTCAAATATGGGGAATGGTTGCACTATTCTTTTCATGCACAAATTATAATAACATTTAGTTTCAAAATGAAATTCTTTTGGTCAGAAATCTGTACAAACTGAGTTTTTAAAAGTACAGTGAACTACAAAAAGATTAAATATGCAATTATAAAATATATTTATCCTAGGTTGTAAGAATATAAAATGTTTATGTTCATGTCACTAGTACATTACACATTACACATATTTAAGGATAACTTCTTTGCATTAATAATGTAAATGATACAACACTGTTTATTGCTTATGTCAGGCATGTAAATTTAAATCCAGACAGCCTTCAGTAGCTAAACCTCCATGGTTCAGCATTTGTTCAAGATCTAGCAGAACACCATTTTAAAAAGTGTATGAACAGTTGCAGCAAGTTTGTACCTGCTCATATTAAACAAAAAACATCAATTCTGTGGGGGGCAGCGGTTCGCTTTTCTAAGTACCTGCATTGGAAAGTCCTGAGATGTCGACATGAGATCAAGTTTACATCCCTTCTCTATTGTATGTAACAGTCTGTACCCATTCCAGGAATAAGGAGTTTATGCTTAAAGTCACACCCCTAATCATTACCTTCCAGCAAAATTAGCTGTTGGAGCAGTCACACTTACTGTTCACTTACAAGGAATGTTCTTGAAAATACATTTTCCAGCAAGAATAAGCACCAACTAAAATCAGTGTACCAAACCCAATCTTAGTGAGAATAGGTTTCCAGTATAACCACCTTTTTCTTTTTCTTTCAGTCTCATTTAGCTTCTGCTTCATCTGCTGCAGCTTCTGTGCTGTGTTTGCTCTTCTATCCTCCCGCAGTCGTTTTCGTACAGAACTTAAAAAGAAAAAAAGGTGAATCTTACACTGAAGAATGGGAAAAAAAGGCTATTATAATATTAAAACAAACCTCTTTCCAACACTCCCAACAGTTAACCAGCAATAGCATATGGCAGCAGTATATAAAATCTGAACCAAGCAATTTTTTATTATCTTTTAACCACCTTGACGTAGAGATTTTCAGAAAGTGAAGCCTCACAAATAAGTAAAGGACAGATGTAAAGATGTACATGGTATTTCAGCTACGAGTTTGACAGAGAACAGAATTAGTTAAATTATCTGAGCTGAGTCTTTCACCCATCTGTGACCTCATTTGGTGGCTGAAATGTTTTGTGTGGAGGCTGCCTTTATATGCAATGCCAGGTACCACATGCAAGTGTCACAGTATTTAAACAGGTGCCTCCACTGCAGAGTTCACACCAGTGTCAACAATACACTGACTCCAACCCCGACTCACAGCTCCATGCAGGTTTAATAGTACTCATCTCAGGATGCAAACCAGTTCTTGATATAGGACACACAAAAAACCCGAATTCCCTGGGTTACATTAACAGGACAACCTTGTAATTTGTGTCTCCAGAAGTGCCCTCACAATCTCTAAGTCAGCATAACTGACTTTCTTGACTATAACTTACATAACTCTGACTGACTTCTAACACATACCCATACCCTCACTCCTTCTTGTGAGAGGCTCCTACAGAATTGCTGTCATTCTCTCTCAAAACACTCATGAAGACAGAAAGAAACTCATTGGGGCATTTGGTGAGCCAGTTGTTATTCTGGAATTCCAGCCTAGCTACACTGAACTGCTGTGTTTCATCTCAGGCTGCAGCCCTTTGGGACAGACCCTGCCTCCTTCTGTGCACCACATGGCTCAGCTTGGCACAGCCCTGACCCAGTTTCTGGATTTCTGGCTATGGATCAACATTTGGCAACCCACATGTGGGAAGGCCCAGCTGACACAGTGCTCAGTCCCAGCTGAGGCATCAGCACTCCTAAGAAAAAGGCAAATTCACCTGACACAGCTAAATCACAGGAACCTACTCACAGCAGGTAGATTTAACATGAGCAGAGGCTGGAACATACATGACTCCAATGATACAACTTCAACCACTACACAGAAAGCAGTATGTGATAAAACCTTTGTGTTTCTGAGGAACCATTATTTTTTGAAACATAAGTTAGCATTGTATTTAAAAATCAGCATGAAATTATGCTGGACAATTTTAGGACCTCATTCACACTTCACAGTGAAGTTCACTGACAATCTGTTAAGAAAATGCATTCAAAGTGTGAGGCCTAGCTGCTTCAGTTGGAGACATTTGCTTTCCTTCTTTTGATTCCTGAACAGTAAAACCGTATCACAAGGAATCATTGAGATGGTATTTTTAAAATCATTAAATAAGTCAGTCAAATACCACCTGTTCTCCCTTGCTACTGCAGAAAGATCTTGAATGTTTTTTACAGTAAGAAAAGCAGATAATAGTTCAGCCTTTTGAGATAGTGTATCTGCCTTTTAAAAGTTTCTTTATCTTGCCTACTTTTCAATGTTCCCATCTGTGATATCTTGAACTTTAGTGGACAGGTCAGTGTTTATTTTCTCCATCTGATCTTTGTTCTCCAGGCCTATGCTGTTCCCATTGTACTTCTCTGTGGTTACTTTGACTGGGTGTGGAGGAGACTGCTCGGAACTTGGTGCTTGGTCCTCCTTAGAGAGCTCCTTCCATCGTTTCTGAAAACAAGGAGAACATATTTCAAACATTCCCCTAATATTAAAGGGCCCCCTTGCCAGGACGTCTTCCAAAAGAACAGTCACATTAAGTAGATTAAAGGAACTACTGGATCAAGAAAAAAAGTGCTAGATGAAGAAATAAAGTTAGGTCAGCATATGTCTTCTCCAGCAATCATCAATGATCCCTTTTTCTATTTCTCCAGGATGGTGCCACTGCAAAGGCATGAGGCCTCTACCTTCAGGGAATGTACTGGCCACAGCAGCTCCACAATTAGGAAGCATCCTGTCTTATCAAATCCTGCACTGTCCAGCACTTCCCACCTCCCTCTACTTGCTACAGGCCTTATCAGTGCTCTTATCTTTTATGGCTTCAAAATACAACAGGACCTTGTATAAAAGAACTGCCTAAAAAGAGACAACTGGGAAAACTTAACAAAAAGTTATCTATATCCAAGTCATAGCCTACTATTTCACCTAGTGGCCCATAAGCCCAGAGATCTACTGCATCATAAAACAGTTATTCACCTTGTTTTGGGAATTAATCTGAAATGAGATGGAAAAAAAGAAATTGGAAGTAAACCTGATTTGATAGATCTCTGTCCTAATGGGTAACTGTCCTAATGATAAATAGTCTGAAGGACTTGCTAGAATAAAATTTCATGAAAAACAGTGCATGGGAAGGAAAATAATCAGCCCTAAAAACCAATCACTTCTTTTCTCACACAAATCAGCCAATGCCTATAAAGACACAGAATACCTTGAAGGAAAAAAAAAAAATCAGTTACTTGTAAGTCTGTGGTAAGGTAGATGAACTGAAAATTGAATCTTACCAAAACCAGTAATAGACTCCTGTCTGTGGAGTGCTGGTCTAAACTAAATATCAAACTCAGAGAATGATATAAAAAACAGCTACTTATAAATGGACAGCTGGCAAAATGAGTTTTAACAATGAACTGAATCCTCCGCTGCAAGCGCATGTTGTGTTTGCACAATTTACTGATTTCCAAAATCCAAGGAGACATCAGAGATGAACATTCTGGCTAATGTTAAAAAAGACAGGTGTTCAATAACCTCAGGCCCTCTCCATCACTAGCAGAGAGAAGTGAATACCTCTCACACTCTGAAGAGTACAACCATTCCTTATGGAAAAGAAATTACCTAGCTGACCTTGAAAGGAGAAATATGCTTTTTGAGCACTGCCCATTGATTTTCTGCACATCATACTGAGGCCTAAAGAGAGAAGCACCAGGACAAATGCCTGCACTGCAGGAAATAGTGATTTAAGTAAGATACCTGAACAATCATAACAAGAAAAAGAGAACAAATGAGAAGAGTGCCTTCCTAGGCATTCTCTTACTATGAATAAATAACACTTGAAAGTGACAAGCAGTATTCTGAGCTGACAATGCTCCCTTGTATCCAGAAGTAAAAAGTCCTGTGACCTAGATCAGTAAGTGTGGGAACCAGAGCTGCTTGATTTGGAGCATGGCTTTAAAAAAAAAAAAAAGCAGAAAAATATTACTGGACACAATACCTCATACCACCAGAAACAGCTTCCACAAAATGAAGAGACTAAACTGCCGTTAGCATTAGGATGAATCATGAAGTCTTCTAGACATATGGCACAGGTGTCAGACCAGCAGCACACTATCTAGGTGTTGACTAGCAGTTGTGTAAAATTATTTCTTTGTTTACACAGCAAGTCAAGAAACATTTGTTAAAGGGAAGAATCAGACTGCTACCAATACCACAAAGAAAGGAAATGTGTTTTAGCTTACCTGCTCTATTTGTGATTTTAAGGAATCAATAAATTAAAAAAGCCCTAACATATGAAAGCAGAATTAAATGTGTTTCAAAGCCTCTCCTTCCAGTTCTTCCTCCCACCTAGCCCCAGTCACTTAACAAAGCTGTAAACTGTTATGTTTGCAAGCCACAATGATTAAACAGTGAGATTTGGTAATCTCTTTGCACCCAAAATCATTATATTTGGCTAGATTGTACTAACGGTAACACAAATTTTAAAGGCTATGAAGAAACAAGGCGACTTTAACAATAAATATTATCTGTAGCATCAGACAATTTACCTACTAGGAAAATATCAAATATCAAGAAATTCTAATACTATCTTCAAAGTTGTACTGGGCATTACTTTCCCTTTTTAGTATTAAAAATATCAACTGAACTTTTTTAAAAAAAAACATTTGGACAGACAAATTATTTTTATATTTTGTCTAAGAGAGGATATATACACACAGGGTTAGAAGTTTAGTTTGATGGAAGACACTGAACATATACCCTTTGATATCTCCTAGGCATCTACTGAAAAAAGCTAATTATTTAAATCACACAGAATTACATGTTTTAGAATAATCTGGAGCTTATTTTTTACTACTGTTGCAATCTGCTGTTCAAATACATGGAGCTAAACATTTACCTGTATAGTTGAATCCCCCATTATGAATTTTGCTCCTTCTATTACAGCCATATATGAAAATCTTAGTTGATCAGGAGTCTGAATAAGTCCCATTCTATATTTTCTCATATCCAGTAATACCTTCTTAATATCTACAGAAAATGGGTCTTTTTTCTCCATCTGTAAAGCAATAATTACATTACGTTGAAAAGTGTCATGGTATATAAAAAATAATTACAAGTAAAAATTAGTCATAAAATTCAATCTAAAAATTAATTTCCCCGTATTATGCTTCTATTAGTTATATGGAAGATTAACATCTAAAATAATTTCTACTTAGTTTTTGAAGGAAAAATAAAAACCATCTAATGAAAACTTACTATGAACAAATCAAGGATCGTATATTAAACAAATAAATTAGTACCCTAACATTAAGTCATAAAATTAAGACATTTAGATATCCTCAATTTTATTCAGGCTTGTATTTGAACTTTGAAATAGGACTATAAGAATCAGAGCTGTAAAGTAGTATTTCCTACTGCTTCTGAATAGAATTGCAATTCAGACTGACTGACTATGGCAGAAGTACATCTTATTTTTCTCTCTTTTTCCTTATTTTAAGCAGAGCCCCAAACCAAAGCAATGCATATATTTGTCCCCGCATTACATTTGCAGGGTTTTTGAAGTACATTTGCATCAACATCTACCCCTGTGTTTTTCAAAATGCATAAAACCAAAGAAAAACTGAAGTAAAAAACCCAACAAGAAATAAATTGAGAGGGTCTAACCAAACCAGAAAATGTGTCTCTTGTAATTTAACTGAAATCCTTTTTCAGTTAAACCTGTGCTGTCTTTTTCACTATTACCAAGCACAAAGAGAAAACTCTGTGTCTGGACTTTCAAGTCCAACAAAAATTTTAATTTATTTAAAATACTATTTAACATTCAAGGTTCACTCATGTCATGAGCAATTAAGAGATTATACAGTTCACTAAGTAAGCAAAAAAATCTATATATCCATGTGGCACTGGAACTGGTTGCCAAGCCCCACTATCCAGAGAGCTGTACAGCAGGGGAAATTCTGCACCATCCTCCATTACACACTGCAGGAAAATCAGAGGCAAGCCTGAGTTCTCATCCTAGTTCAGGTAGCAATAACGATTTTTCTCCATGGTTAAGAAAAGGGCTCTGGAGAAAAAGACTTGTAGATTCAATCAGATCAATATATATTCACCAGGTTGTATCATATTAAAAAAACCAACCAATCCTCAACCTTTCTAAGCATGTCTTACATAAAAAGAAAAGAATGTTTACAATTTACTTTCCAGGAAGCTTTGAGAATATATAATAGTCCTGGGGTACTTCAAGGGGGATTTGTAAATGCATTTCAAGAGCTGTGTTTTTGCCATCAAAATATGAGACAAAAAAAAAGCATGATGTCTTAATTTAAGTTTCCACAGGAATGTCATTAACTTCAATGTTTTTAAAGCCTTCTGACCAAAAAGCCCATATTGGGAAGGCTGGCAGGGTGTCAGGAGAAGGGAAGGGGCGACAGAGAAAATGCAAACACTTACCAGAACAAGACAAGTATCTACTAACGAAAATGTGCCGGAACGTCCTATTCCCGCACTGCAGTGAACTACTGCAGGTCCATGTTCGGGGCTCAATGAACCAGATTCTCTGACTTTAAACAGGAAGTTCAGGAATGAAGCTGGGGATTCAGGAACTCCAAAGTCTGGCCATGTAGTATAATGAAAATGAGAGATCATCCTGGACTCACCACTCTAGAAGTGAAAACAAACACTAGAACTAGAAAGCATTATTCTTTAACTCAGTTAGTGCACATTTTCCCCAGTCTCAATCAACAACTATTTTCTATTTTAAACCTCCCATTAAGACAAACATCCCAGTAACTTGCTTTAAGCTGGACAACAACCAACAGTGCATGCTGAAGCAGTTCTATCTGAGCTGGTAATTTTCTCCTTGGCAATTATTACCACATGCATATTTTTTCTTCTTCTCAAACTTCCAGTATTATGTTTGGTTTGCTTTACTACTTACTCACAAATATCTTTGTCTACCAATAACGCAGTTCAATGGGTGACAGCAGTTACTAGGCAGCTAGAATTAACATGACTGAAAAAACTCATGTCAGCATTGTACACACTGCATTCTTGCTTAGAGCAAGTTTTAATGCCAAGAGGTATTACATCTCCTTTATACTAACCACATTATTGAGAGGAGCAGGAAGCATTCCTTCCTGGAAAAGGCTATAAAACCCATACAGCAGGATGCCTAGCAAGACTTCTGCTGGACATCTTCTATCTTTTTTAAGTAAAAAAAGGAGGATTCCAAAATCATACAGCTGCTTTAGAACCGCTCTGTTAGAGTTCCTCTCCTAACACAACCGAATAACCACAAGTACTGAAATGACAGCAAGAAAGTATGTATATGAAATTTGGATCATATTTTCATGGAACTCACTTCAGACCTGCTGTGAAATGCTACTCCTTGCCATGGTGATTCTGAGACAAAATGATCACTGATTTTAGCTCAGGCATTTTAGAATTTTTTTTTTTATAATTTATTAATTAGGTTATTTAATTTTTAATTAATTCAGTTATAATTTATTATTTCAGTTATTTAATTTTTCACATAGACTGAAACCTACATAGACCTTGGCAAAGTTTGAACACAAAAGGATTTAAAATCAATGTATTCCAGAAAAGCTATTTTTCTCCTTCAGCAACAGGAAAATATAGCCATGAAAATAAAATAAATTCTACTTTTCTTCATCTACTCAATGTGTTTCTACTTCTTATGAGAGACAACTTATGAAATTCCTTTGTGAGACTAAAATAACCCATTTCATGGTTTCCACAGTGTCAAAAATAGTCTCCCAACTTATTTTTGCCTTCAATGCTCAATACTGCAAGACTGCCAATACCTTCAGAGAAAACAGTGGATATTAGCATGACTCCAGTCACTCTCAGATGCACAGTTATCTTCCAGAAATATTTTGTCTTTTGGCTAGGTGCTCAACAAAGAAAACAAAATGATCTGCGACATTAGGAAAATGAGTTTGCATTAAGATTTCATAGGGGAAAAAAGGAGTATCAGGCCCTAAATTGTATAGATATACCAGGACTTCCCTTTGTCTGGAGGAAAGCATTAAAGAGTTCACATTTTCTCTCCTGCTGCTGTTCTGTACCTAGTTTTTCAAGTAGCAAGTTAACTCACAAATTAACTGAATGACCTGTGTGTTTAAAAATCATGAAGACACATTTTTCATAAGAAATCTGGAAGTAACACTTACGCAATTTCCTCTATTTCTAAGAAAAATAATTCATCACTTTAGATACAAAATTAAGAAGAAAACTGGAGAGGTGAGCTAAATGTACATGCTAAGTAAAGGTTGAAGTTGCTTCTTGTGAATCTAGACAGTCTTTGTAGGTGGTAATTGATGCTCCCTACTTTAAGAATCTGAAAAAGCATTCTAGATGAAAGCATCCCTTACACCTCAAGAAGGAAAAAAATGTCTTTTTTATTGTCATTTGATTTTTGTCACCTCAAAACAGTGACCTGTGGGATTTGTTTGTGTGGGCTTTTGTTTGGTTGGGGGATTCTTTTGCGTGGCTTTTTTACCCCAATCCCATCCATAACAAGCAATGGCATCTTCTTCCTAAAGAAAAAGAATGAAGTATGGCTAAGTGTCACCCTTCTTATATACTAATCTGAAATAGTTATTTCTAGAAGAGATATTAAACTGTGCTCTTGTACATGTCACTCTGCTCTAACTCACAGAATTACATTTTTGTTTCCTTTCTTGTATGAAGGCTTTATCCATCCCATGATTTTCCATCCCTTCAGCTCATTGTAAAAATACCTAGTCTCTCCATCTCTCTACAAGAGTCCCATTGCAAGGCACTGGAACCAGCTGGTCATCTTTGAATTCGCAATCTCTAATCCTACAGCCAAATCCCATTTGAGTATTTCAAACCTCCCACATTGCTCTCTTAAACAGAATGGCTCTTTCAAGTGGTACTTGGCAGTCAAGCTGTACAGCTGAAACACTGCCTTTGTGAGGATCTGTACCACCCTTTCTTAAACAACTCCCAGTCACTGAGCCATGCAGCACTTACATGAAGTGACGTGGGACTGTTACGAGAAGAGGCTTTTTGATTAACAAATGTTAATTGACAAAAATTCAAACAAAAACAACTAATTTAATCTGAAGTGTTACCAGGAAACTAGCTAATCTTTTAAAATAAAATCCCCTAGACTTCAAGATTCAGGCAGCAATATAAAATTTTATGTTATACATGAAGGACATATTTCTGCATGGTAACTGAAAACCAGCTTGATCTATGGTTACTACAATGCACTTTTCAAAGATTTATTCTCTAAAACAAGCTACCAAAAACAAACAAACAAATCAAAACCCAAACAAACAACAAACCCCCCTTGAATAATGATGGGGCAACACTGTGGAAATTTTACAAACTACTGGGATAAGCTTTCCATAAATAACCAAGACATCTAAACCTGATGAACTTGTAAAGCTGCCACCACACTGCACAGCTCTGCACTGACTGCTGGAAATGCCAACAGTACGATCAAAAGACGATCAAAGCACAAGCTCTAAGTTACAGAGATCCACATGAGCACTTGAGCAGAAAAGGAATATCCCATTAGGTTAATTTCCAGCAAAACAAGCCTTGCCATAATCTTTTTAGAGTGACTATCCAATCACTTGAAACAAAAAAAGAGCGAAAATCTTAAGAGTAATTTCAGGTTGTTCAGTCACCTGGGAGTTTAAACATGAATAAAATGCTACCAAAATGCTCAAAGGTTAAGTTGGTGCCTTCAGGGTCAGGTAAAACAGGGGACAACAAAAAATACTGGTCTGTCAAGTTTCTCACCCTCATTATAAAAGCCATAATCAAAGTGCTACTGAAATGGTCAAATACATGAAGATGTAACACACCAACAACCCTACAGTGGTCCCGTATTTAATGAACACACCTTGATTTCATTTACAACTAATTTGGTCATATAAAAATGAAGAGGCATGCAATAATGGCAATATTCTATAAACTTAAATTTAAAATCATAAATCAGCTTCTACCAGAGCCTCCTCTATTTGTTCTTTCATGATGGCCAAAATGTTTTCCAAAATTTAAATAAAAATGGCCCTGAGGATAAGGGGGCCAAATAATCATCACAAACATTCTGGTTCATCCACAGGATAAGCTAGTGAGTGCCACTAAGCAGTCTTGCATTACCTTAATCTGACAATCACAGCCACACAGAAGCTTGGTACTAAGTTGAGAATCCATTTTACTAATGGGGTTTCCAAATATTTGCTATTTGTAGAGGATTTAAAATTCCACTTGGGATTTATTAATGGTCCATACTCTGAAGTATCACACCACCAGTGTGACATCAAATTTAGCTCATTTCTCCTAGTCCTTTCTCCCCCAAACAAGTACCTTCTTTGCAAACCTCAGCCTCTCCTTCTACTGCTGTATTTCTACTTCCAGAAACCCAGTCTGAGACACATTCAGAAAGGGTCCTTCTGCAATTTCAAATCCCACTGCTCCATTTCCTCATCCAAGCAATCCCTGGTCTCCCTGAAGATCTGATGCTCATATGCCCTCGCATAGCTTGTCTGAATTCCTCAGTACCTGTGGAGTAGTTTTGCTTATAAGCATTCATATTATGCGCCACACTGTATCTTTCTCAGGATATCTGGGTTGCCACACCAGAAATTACTGAAAACAAAGTTTTCTTACTCTAAAGACCAATACATAAAGTTGTGACATTAAGGAAAAAAGAAAAAGCTAAAAGCAACAATAAAGAACAATATAAAAATACATATTCAAGACAAAGTGGAGTCTTTCCTAAGCTAGATGTCAAGATCTAACAATTCTCCTGCAACACTGTCGCAAATAGGTTGTTTTATAGATTTAACAATAAACTGTCATAGACCTCACTATCACTTCTCCAATAAGCTGAGAGACTTTGCTTCAAATCACAGCCATTCAAAAGCTTCACACATAAATGATTACAAAATTTTAACATGGACACAGTATCTTCCTTCCACCCTTATTATTCAAGAGGCACTGGTTGGTGGAAGCCTTCACAGTAAGTCTCTCTCAAGGGACAGTTCTGAACCTGAGCAGCACTCAGCTTCAGAAGAGCTGACAAATGACACCATCAAACCCATGAAGAAAAATGAATCATGACAGAAAAGCAGTTTCAAGTGCCTGTATTCTAAAATGCAGACTGGGTCAGGCAAAAAAAATAAGGAAATTCTAAAATAATCACCAGCAAAACAAAGAACTTTAGGAATCTCTTCAAAACTTTTGGAAAGATACTGATAGACACCATTGTCTCTCCAAAGCTTTACTGGACTGTGCTAGCCCCAAGAACCATTTTTTTTTTCCTATAATAGATATTAAAAAAAAAAATCAAATCAAAAAATGCCTTGATATAATCCTGAAAAAGAACAGCCCCCAATCTCACCTCTATTTCTAAGTAATCTTTAACAAAAGCAATAATAAAACCACAACCACATGCTCAGAGGTTGTTTCATTGGCAACAATATAAACAAACACTTTACTCTTCATATACCTGTATTTTGTTTATGTCTTAAAGAGATTTGCTGCAGTAAGACAAACTTACTTGAGCTCAGAATGGCTGCATTATAAAGGCAACCTTGGTTCTGTTTTCAAGGAAATACTAAAATTCAAGTATTCTTGGCATTCAGAGTATATTTTGTTCATGAGTCATCCTATATTCCAGGCACTGAGTGGCTAAATGTCTTACACTCTGCCTCCACCAAAGGCCCCTCCAGAATAACTTATATAAACACAGTTAAGCTCACATTTCAAGTTATTGCAAATACTCAGTTCCCACAAGTTTTATGGTATAATTATCAAATTCTTAAAAAAGGCTGCATATAACATTGAGAGTGTTAGACTAGAAACTATGTAGCATTTTTTGCTTGAGTAACCAAGTATGTTATGCTTCTTCTACAAGAATTATGCTTTTGAGTTAATATTCATGAAGCCTTACCAGAGTGCTAGAGATAAATAGAAATAAATATTCATTACAGAAAGACTGGTATTTGTAAAACTGATTTATATGACTGACCTGGGTTTGCCATCTTAAACCAGGACAATGACACACAAGAAACTCTGTACAGTGCTGACAGGCTTGCACTTTTGGTCCAAAACAAACCCAGAAATTTAAATGCTCCAACTCTAAAGTCTACTGCAGTATACATTACACTGTTCCTAGAGACATTTCTGCATTTTCCAGTTAATGGTATGTTCAAACATATACATGTAAAGAAAATTGCATCCTTTGAAAATAGGAAGTTTAAAAGTAAGGGCCAACATCAGCCAAACAATTCCACAAAGACGACTTTTTGGCAGTTAGGAAAACTTGCCTCAGCTTTCCAAAAGGAAGAGATGTTCTTTTTTAAGCACTAGCTAGCCAGCATTACTCATCTTTCTTTTGCCTTTGCTGTCAATAAACAAACCACTAAAGAGAAATTCTTCAGGTCAGCAGGACAGTATTTCATAAAGCTCTTTTAACATTGAGAAGACCAAGGAACAACATGCCAAGCTTTATCATGTTGATCTCATGAGGGAGGTTAAGAATTAATGATTATCTCAGAATATCATCAGTAGTTACTATAAATTCAAATATTTGGGACCAATGCATCAACAGTTGTAAAAAAGAACATGCAGAACATCGTCAAGCGTTCCTTTCCCAAATTATCTGACAAACTTGAAAACTTGCCATACTAGCACTTTCAATTAATATAAGGCAAGATTTATAGGGAGAGAGAATATCTTACAAGACATAGCTGGAACAAACAGACAAGCTCTTCAATCCTGTCTTCCACTCTGAAACAGAAGCAGCAAATTCCAACCCAAATTCAGGCCAGGAACAACTTTTTTGAGATTAACTTGGTTAAATTGTCAAAGTGCTTAAATTTTTTAAGAGAAAAGGATGGTTGGTCCTGCGAAGCAAAAGGGGAGGTAAGCAAGAGGAGATAGTTACCTATCTATCTACAGGTGGTAATTACCCCTCCCCCCAAAAAAACTTAAGACAGCTGGACTAAATTACCTGGAAAATTAAACTTCCACTAAAAAAATCAGTAATTACTCAGTCAAGTTTCTGATATTCAAAGGAAATCAGAATTTTCCACTCTCATGTTTCTCCCTTTAAATTAATTCTTACAGCTCATCCTAGAATCACCACTACCATCATTTAGAATTCAGCATGTTAAGGTACTGCCAAATGGAAAATACAAGTATACAAACGCCAAAGATGTTATCTCTCCTAATGTATAGACTGAGGTCTAAATCACTTATTTCCACACAAACATCTTCAACATTCTCAGAAGCAAAGTGCATTAAAATTTCCAGAGTAAAAGCTCACTGAAACCTGAAGTGACATCATGCTAAGTGGTTCTCATGATACACTTAAGCCCATGAATAGGAGCTGTAGAGACTGAGAAAAGCTTACGTTGATATTTTCTAATTGCAGTAGATGCACTGTGTAATAGGATTTGACATCTTCAGACACTAGTCTCACACGGAAACCTGTTTCACTGAATGTCATAACTTCATCTTCTTTTGTTGGCCAGTATTGTGCACACTTCACCTAAAGATTTTTTATTTTTAAAAAGAGAAAAGGAAGGAAAAACAAAAAAAAAAAGAAAAACTTTGTTAAATATCGTGGTATCTTGGGCTTTGCACATGCAGATTCTGAGTCCACACTGTCCAATACAGTAGACTCAAGTACCTGCTCCCACTTCGAAAAATTCTCAAGTTCATAATGTTTACAGCCAAGTTACTACAACTGTTTCAGTGGCTATTACGCATTCCAGCTTTTTGTATTTATGCTTTATTTCATCACATGGCTAAAGTGTTTTGAGAGACATCTTAAGCCTTCCCTCTCCCTTCTAGTTCTAGAGAACTTCTAGTTCTCTACAGGGAACTGAGATCTCTGCTCAGCTATTTCAGCATTTCCCCCCTTTGTTTCTGACTTGCACACCTGCACATTTACAGAACTCGTCTATCACACCCAGTTCTACCCAGGCTTGCTGGATACTGGAAAGTTCTAGTAAAACAACAGAATGAACTAACAAACCAATGCAAAACTATTCTTTGTCTTGTATTCCTCTTGCTTCACACTGAAACTTTCTGTAGGAAAATTTTTGCAGAAGAAAATAGATGACTTTTTAACAGACCAGTCAAATTTTTTCCACTAATCTGCACTGAATAAAAAAAATAAACCTCAAATGGTATGCATTTGATATAGTAACAAAAATCTGCAATGCTTTTAGGCACAGTAGCAGAAAAATTTCAATGTAACACAAGGTTTGTGTACCCCGTTACATTTAGAAGAATTAATCTAAAGACACTTGTTTTCCCACCTTCTACTTTGTCCTAGGAACATCTTACACTGCCTCTACTCCTCACCAGTTCTATCTGCACATCCTTTCTCAGACTGCTACTTTCACCTTTCTGGATGTACTGTTTGTTAGATACTATTTTCACCAAACTGAACTGTTAGCTCCCTCACTTCACTGTTATATTAAATACATATTATACTGCACACCAGTGAGAATGTTTGTTAGTTCTTCAAATGTAACAATCAAACATTGCTCAACTGTATTAAAATTGTGTGGCTTATTTTACAATTTTAGGCCTAATGTCACTACTTACCGACTCTTTTTCAACAATCCTGTTCAACATGACAACTGCTTTGGTTTGTTGTTGCCATACCATTAGCCAAAAATGGCAACATGTATTAGGTAGTGGACCCTGTGTAGTAAAAAACACAAGAACAGGCATGAGAATGTATAGGCAAAGCAGTGTTTGAGCACAGGTAACAGTTCACTGTGGGAAACAGGAAAAATTCCTCCTCTTAAGTTTAAATGAATTATTAATAATAGAATGATAGAAATAGTAGGCAAGAAAGTAGCCACACTGCACAGATCATTCCAGGACTTAAAAGGGCTGTGGTTTTTTTAAGAAAAAAATAACAAACAACAAAACAGTAAGAACTCAGGGAAGGGATATTTTGGTTTAAGCATCAATACTATTGTGCTGTTAGAAGAAAAGCTACTGCAGGCATGTTTAGAAGGTACAAGATGGATTAAGGGGTAGAAGTAATGTTGTAATGTATTTACAAAAGAACTGAAAGGAGCAAGAAATATTTGAGAAATTTCACACACTGTAGATTACTCATATTTCAATATCCCCTTTAGCTTTTCTTAAAACAATCTGTTCGCAGCTACATCACACTGTCAGTTAATATGAGATACATGTAATTCATGGACACAAGAAACAATCCAAATACAAATTACAAATGTACAAATTCCCCTTCCTAGATTCTCAATCCCTGTAATAACCCAGTAATTGTACTACTTACCTGTGTTAAAATATAGTATCTCTGGGCTTCTTCTATGACCACTAGGCTGGCATTGATATAGTCATTCTCAGTGTTCTGGAGTTTTACACGACTGTGATCATCTAAAATTCAAAGAAAATTAAGAATTAATGATGCATCCATAGGTCTGACAAGCAACTAGAACTAAAGTCTGTCGAATGACCCAAACAGCAAACTACAAATATAAGTGAAACTAATTTCTCACATAACTTTGACAACTTCAAAAAGGGATTCTCCCTTCTCCCATTCTCCCTTCGGCATTCCATCAGAGTAGTTTCAAGGAGCTATTAATAGAAGCTGCTCAGAAAACTGGAGTATCTATTTTTCTTTAAAAAACCCAACCAAACAAAATAAGCTTTCCACACAAGCCTAAAGGTCCCCACAGTCATCCCTCAACAGCTGCATCTCCTTAATACAACAGCACCACAACTCACACTAGACAACACTGTCCTATCACACCAGATTACACCACTGCATTTCCTAAGTTCAAAATTCCAAGACCTTTGGTGAATTGAAGTTTTAAAGGTTGAAGTAGAATCATAAAGTTAAGCTCACACAGCTAAAAATAAACCAATAAAATCTACTTGCAGTAATTCAAGCCAGGGTTTGATCAATTTCATTTTCCCTGTAAGCCATTGTCTAATATTATGCAACATAAAAATACTAAAAAATCACATTCAAAACCAAAAATAGTCAACAAATCATTCAATTAAACAAAAACTAATCAAACTACATGGTCTAATCTCAGAATTACACAAGCAAGGTCGACGATTCCCCTGTTTACAGCAGAGGCAAGCAAAGGACTCTGTTTAAAATTCTACCATTAACACAAGAAAGATCATTACACTGTCAAACTGAATAACTGTATAATAAAAAGTCATTGTGGTTGTTCTTAAAACCTTTTAGTATCTGATTTATGAACATCTAGGAGACATTTAGGTAATCAGACTTGTTTGCAGTAAGTAATTCTTCTTCAGTCATTCATCAGTCACTGTATTAAATAAACAGCACTTTCAGTTTAGAATTTGTACACAACTACATGCCAGAAAATGAGATTCAACTGACTGTAAACCTCCTGAAGCTCAACACCTAGCAGAATAAGAAGGGTAAATAAAACATAGCAAACTAAAATTAATTTAAGAAACTTCAACGTATTTTAGGAAGAGATGGAAGAGATTTCGTAAGACAGCAGAGTGAATTACAATACAGTACCAATTAGTAAAACTAAATTCACCTAGTCTAACCCACAAAACTCATTGAGGGCCCAGGCTGCTGTTAAAATGCCAGCCCATCCATCCTTGCACCAAAAGGCTCGCTTTGGGAAACAGACAAAGCCATGAGCTTTGACATTAGCAACTACCAAGTATCAAATTCAGCACAACTACAATAGCTCAACTCACAGCCAGCCTGTGCTGCACAAGGTTTATCTCAGAAATCTGTAAATATAAACCTGGATAGGCAAAAAGATGATGGCAATCAAAAAACAGTTGCTGAATTAGACTCTTGTTCTACAGACAGTTTGTACGATTTAATATGAACACTTTCCATGTGTTTGGAAACCTGGGAAAAGTACATTTACTAGGCCTTGATCTGCCTTTACATTATCCCTCATCTATCTGCTACTGGCAACCCAAAAATGATCTTGTTGCATTCAAGTAAAGAAGTCAACAGTAAAGCAGAACTGTTTTGCTGCTACTGAAGCACTCAAATTCTCCCTACCTCCCTTAGCTCCTAGCTTTTATATGCAGTCACATACCAACATTCAGAGAACAGAAAAATGCTGAAAATTTATTTTTTATATAAAAGCATGAGAAATATACTGGGTTGGTCTGTTTTCATTAGCATTCCTGTACTGTAAGGCAACACCATTTTAACTTTCCGAAGTCTTAAAAGATTTATGATACCCCTGTATGAAGAAAAAAAAAATATTATGGAAGCCAAGACACAGCAAAATTAAGAGACATGTGCATTCTAAAGTAAAATACATCTCTTTATATTATTTTGCCAGGATAGGAAAGCATTACTTTTTCCTTTCGTGTATCACTTTATCTGAAATGTTTCTACTGGAAAGAAACCAAGACCTCTGTAAATATTACATGTCATCTGCCAACAGGAAAAACTTAAGATCTTGTTATAGTAAATCACACATACCGGTACCAGTGTTCTCGGAAAGGTGACGCAAGCAAGCACTGTTAACAGTTTAATCACCCAGCGGCAGCTGCTGTACTGCTGCCAGGGACAGATGACTGCAGCCTCTAAGGAGGTTTCCTACCTTAATCCTTACATTCTCAGATTAGTTTTTTCCCTTCTTATAAATTCTGCTTTGTAAACTTGACAAATAAAATTTTGCAAGTTGTTTTTTAAAGTCCCTTTAATAACTAATTCTATGTACAGACAGACTCCCTCTCCCTCCCCAAGTAAAACAGAGGAGATCCTGCAAGAGGAGATGCCTCAAGATCCTCTGGCAGACAGTCCACAGTACAAAAAAAAAACCAAAAAAAACCCAAAAAAACAAAAACAAACCACTATAATATATTGATTTCCCTTCTTTCAAGGGATGAGGTTCTTAAAGGACACAATGACCTAGAAACCTCATTCAAACTCCAGCTTGCTCTTCTGAATTAACTGAAGCAAGCCAACTTTTGAGAGTGAGATAGCTGTAATGTATTTCCCGTATGTATATAATTTCCAAAGTACTTAGATTTATATGAATGATAAACCTATCTTTAAGATAAGATTTATCTTATGTGTTGCCATGCCCACAGCAGCTAAAATACAGTACTCATTTTCTGAAGCACTAATTCCCCTATTTCAACAAACTATGCAGCTTGAAAAGGAAGTGGAAACCTTAAAAATTATTCTCATTTTCTCCTGCACTGAGAAAAAACACTCCCAGAATGACCTTGTCTGAGATAAGCAAACTCTGATTAGCCATTTCCAGTGAAACCCTGACAATACTTCCCATGCATCAAATAATGCCAAGACTTCAGAAGCTCATCAATCTGCTCACCCCCTGCTTAACAGAAAATGACAGATCCAGTTAAAAACCAAGAGACAAAATGTTTGGCATTTTATATCATGCAGTTCATGCAGTTGGTTAATGAAAGGCTTTCATTATAAAACAACTGTGTTTCTAGAACACTGCATAACTTCAAAATTATCTTTTATCCAAGAAATGTCTCTGGTCCCCCAAATACAAAGCTATTAACAATAGAGGAAGGAGAAATGCTACTTAGTGGATTAAAGAAAGTCATAAATAAAACATGCAGCTGCAAGCCATCCCAGTGACCCTGCCTGACCTTTCCCGCCTACCAACAAATCCCCTCCATCACTAATCTAAATCTAGTCTATCTGAGCTGCTAAATTATTCAAATTGCTTTGTCACTAGATTTACAATCTCAGGTTTCAGAGATAGCCTAAGGCAAAGAAAAGGCAAAAGGACTTTTCGTCACTGCCCTGTCATTGTTTGTACACAATGAATGCCATCATATCAGTCATGGCCTAGCTCACCACTGAAATGTACTCACACCGAAATAAACATGTCACTACTGCACAGCATCCTTACACTTCTAAGCAGGACTATGGAAAAAAAACTTAAGGCACATTAAAGTTTACATAAGCATGTAAAATTCCTCTCTTCCCCAACCCCAAAGGAAGTATTTCCAAACTCAACAGCAGGTTGAGTTATTTTATAATGTTTCACATTGTAAGATGTTTAAGAGAATAATTAGACAATGTCAAAGAAATTGTCAATGTCACCTTCTAATACAGACAAGAACTGCAGCAGTCTTATTTTGGGCTGAACATCTCCCTGTTCTCAGCAGGTACACTTGAAACACAGGACCGAAAGGGAACATTCCTGCACTGATAATTAATCAGCACCATGTGTAAAACCATTTAAATCAGCTCCAACTCAGTTCCCTGTAAAGCACAATACTCCTCATGCTCCTCTCCTGGACTCTATGCCAACTGTAAGCCCACAGTTGAAAGATCTGACACAAAATCTATTCAAGGCCAAGGAAGAACACCTAGAAATCACTACCTTGCAAAATCTTCCAAAAGCAACATGATCTATCAGCAAAACTGTTCAGATGATCCAGGTTCTTGAGCCACACATCATATTACAAAGGAATAGAAAACTCCATAAACCCCCATCTACCCTTCAAAGGGAAAAAAAAAAATCCTGCCAACTTTGCTAAAGAGATTTTCTTGCCTGTAAATCTGGGAACTCAGCTCTAAAGATGCTTACAGTCAATCTGCGACACTAGACTCCTCTGAAAACAACTAAGGATAAGATTTAGAAGGAAAATTAATTACAGAAATCTTTGGAGTTTCATTAAAATTGTTAATGAATAACAACCTCACAAGTTACTTTCCTCTGTTAACAACATTTTCTGAGAAATGGTTTCATCTGTCCAGAAATGACTGGCTGTCAAACCAAATCTATTTCAGATTAACTTCCTGTTTCAGTACTATGAAGCCAAAATACTCCTCTGCCTATTCTAGACTAAATACCAAACTATTAGACTGCTATTTTTTTTCAGCTAGCCAGCAATTCTTACCAAACCAAATTTATATATATATCCTACAGATCTTTACTCAACAAAAATGGACACTAACAAAAATACGTATGAAATTGGAAACACTGTGAAACTCAGCTGTAATGGGATGATTAGCCATTCCCAGCAAAGAGAAATCAATTTTACCTCGAAATGTATGTAACAGACACAGTTTGTTTCAGTGTACCTGTCCCAGGTACTACAGCTGAAATAACCCAAAGTATTTTTTCCTGGACTCGTAACTGACATATTTTCTGTAAAATTATGAAATCTTTGCATTTCCTCTTGCAGACACACCACCCCAGAATTTAGACTGGCTTGGCAGCTACCACAATTAACCGTTTTCTCATTACTTTTGGAGGAATAAAACTCTTTCTTTAAATTATGCCTTAGAGTATGATTAAGTAGCTAGATCTTAAAAGTTCAACAGCTGATTCTGAAGGCCTTTGACTATCTGAGAACATTAGTATCACCCATTTTTCATCTAAACACTGTTAAAAAGCAGCAAAATTTGCAAAGTGAAGGATTGAGACATCAAGATTGTGTGAGACTGAGTTGTCTCACATTTCTGCAACATCAGGTCTTTGTATACATGCACCACAATTAGATGTGTTCACCAGAGTAAACAAACCATGCAGCTTTTCTCCTAGCTGCTTTGAAATTTATTTATTATTTTATTTGCTACCTTGAAATCTTATTTATCAAACACTCCCTTACAGGTCTCTTTCTACTCCTGACTCTCATCTTTCTTACTGAAACAATGATGAGTCATATTTGAAAACACATAAGTAAAATTCAGGAGGAATTAACTAGTTCAAACACAGTGTTCTGCTCTGTTCTCCTGGCACAGCTTTGTTCCTAGCGCCCAGTTTTGCAAGCTATCTACGTGAACCAATTCAAACCATTTTCTTTCATAAATGCTAAAAACTGACACATTCTTCAGAAACTTCACTATCTTATTCAGTTCATTCATCATAAAACAAATTATGTCAGAGTGTAACAGTTCTAGCCTTTTCCTGAACCCTACTTTTCTGAAGTACTACTTCAATATTAGATTTTATCTGTCTCTCTGCTTTTGCCTTGTGTCCAGGAATTAATACAATAATTTATATTTTTTTCTACTGGCTAAACATGTATTTCAGAAGCAGGCTTTGCCATGACTAAGGCAAAGGTGTTTGATGCTCTTCATTACCGTAAAAGGCATGCCATGATTAAAGAAAATATTGAGCTCCAAATAACTGCAAGAGATGAATACAGGTCACATCTGCAACGTATTACTGGAAGTATTATTACATACTACTTCCATAATACAGTATGTTTTTATTTATTTAGGAAACAATATTTTTAAAAAGAAAAAAGCACAAACAGTTTGAAAGTAAATTTTCACTCTCTTAACATAAATTACATTCACATATGGGAGAAACTGTAGATAAATGCACAGATACAGCTTCTGACATGGAAATTGTACAGGATGTTAGACCCAGAACTAGAACCTGGGTTCAAATCTAATTTCCTACCTTCTCGTCTTACAACCTCCATTGTAACTTAGGTATTAAACAGAAAGTGAATAAAACATCTCTTTCAGCATCAGTAAGATGCTGATGCTGTGCTGCAACAGGACAGCAAAGCTGGGACACCCAAGTGCTGCTGTACAGACCAACATGTTTCCACCAGAGGCCTGGCTCCATTTCCTGAGCCTAATGTGAAAGCCAGTGAGCCTTGCCTCATGTGAGTTATCTTCCTCAGTTCTGGACACTCCTCCAATGGAATGCCATACAGACACAGCAAGGGAGCCTTGCACTCTGAATTCGTAAGTTCAGTTACATCAGTGTGCGGCACAGGGGGTCAGCACAACGCCAGACTGGACCCATTTGGTACAAATTCACTGTGCCAATGGTGCATCCTAGCAGCAGCCTAAGGAACAGTATTGCATCTGACCAGTGTGACTCAATCCATGACCCTTTCCGTGCCATTTTGAGAAGTGCTATGCACATGCTGTCACCACAACTTTCAACTGGAAACAAAGACCTCAGCACTTCTCCAAATCTTATAATAGGTATTCAGATCAGGCTCTCAAATGAAAAGCCCCAATATACCAGCAATCCTGCAAAAACTCTAGATCCAGTAACAAGGTGGTTTTTAGGACCCTTCAGTATTCTGGGAAACTTCATAAGGAACACATAAACGTGTTATCTGTCCTAACTTTAACATATTGCAAAAAAATGAAAACTTTATAATTTTTTTCCCTTCTCTGTAGCTCACATCATTTTGCAATAATTTTGGCTTACAATTTCTGAAGTAAAATGCTGATGAAAAGAAGCTCACAAAATCTCTCTAGCAGAGATGCTGGTCTAAAAAAAAGGTTTTTTCACATGAGAAATATGATCATAATGTCAAAAAGAACACTTTATGGCAATTAGTCAAAGTACAAAACACATCATACCTTATTTACTACACAGGCAAAGCCAACAAAATCTCAAGCATTTTTTAAAGCAGCATTAGAAATTGAGTGGCATTTATCCATACCACCTTAAAAATGCGCAGAATCACTCAGTCCAAAAAGAAAACATTTCTGTTAGTCAAGGCATATTAACCTAATCTCTATATTCATTTTTTTACAACAGATAAAGCACTATTAAACAAATAATTTCCCTATGATTAAAATATCTCTAAAACATTACCATGCAGCTCACCAAAATTTACCTATACACTAATGATAAACACTATGATTTGCAAACATCTTTCATTCACCATTCAGCACAATGAGTTTAACATGCAGACTTTTCTCCATCCTGTTATACACATTTGTGTGTGTGTTACAAAAATGTCGCATTTATCATAGGATACATGCCTACAGAAAGAAACAAAATGCAAAATTTGCAATGACCATGATTTATCACCTCCAGTGTCAACAGGGGAAGAGAAGGTCTAGTAAGTGTACTGCAATTATTGCAGAAAAGATACTCACATGGACTAACATCTCTGTATCTGTTTCGATTTCTGTTTTCTGGATATTTTGCAACTCTGTGAGGGTAGTCACTGGATTTATGTCGGATTTCCTTAAAAAGACAAAGTAAATAATTGACTTGTAACCAGCAACCTGATTAAAAATAGTGTTCTACACATACTACTAATTAAGTAATATTGTTAATAAGCAACATTTTTTAAACCAACTTTTACTGCACCTAGTGTCATTTTCACTCAGAAGACATCTCAATCATGGCCAAACTGCTACCATTTATCTTCCTAAAGTAATCCTCCTAAAGGCTAAAACTACCAAATGTAAGCACCACTGAACAAGCAAGTGCTGCATCAGGAACAAACAGCAAAACAACCCTCACCCCAGATACACTTATTACTTTACAGTTATTATTACACTTACAGTTTACCTCAGAGCGGCACATCATCTCCCAAAGCAATAAGGGACTCAGACACAACAGCAGTATTCTGCTGGCTCCTTTTTAAAGTGACTGGAAGCGTAAAACCCCACAAATGTAAGTGAACCAGTTAATGATTTTATGGTTACTATTAAGGGCCATAGGATTATTCATGGTGGTTTGATGGCCCATCCCACACAGCTGTAGTTAAACATGAACCAATATGAAGAATTCTAGAGTCACAAATATCAATGTGAATCAAAGCCTGTTCTCCCCACACACTAATACAAACCTTCTAATAATATGTGAGATATTCAGACTCACACACTATTTCAAGCACCCTACTCTTTACTCATTCTGAATGTTCTGCTTTATTGATTTCTTCCCTGAGTGCATCTTTTCTACAACTTCACTAAGACATACAGAATTACCTTACGCAGAAAACTGAGAACAGCCTTCAATGTATTCTACTCTGTCTTTATATCTCTGTACTGATGCTATCTCAGCAGAAATGTTGCACAGTACAGAATTAACAATATTTAACTTTGAATTCTCCTTCTGTTTTTAGATTATGTTGCTACATTTGATCATTATGTCCCAAAGGGCATTTAAACTTCTTATTACAGCTGAGCATTCTTTGGTCTTCTCTATGTTCCCACTATTTGTCTCCAAACTTCCTAAATAGTCTAGTCTATTCCCAGACAATGAACACAGCCAGAAAGGGCATGAGCGGAAATGTAACATACAAAAGAAAGCACCAATTCTTAGCATTGGTTGTGTGACCTTTCTTTAAAATGTACTGCCAATCTGCAAAGAACATAAATCACAATGTGGACTAGCATCTGCCAAGCACTAATACTCCACATATTTGTATAAAAATTGCTTGATCTGTTAAGATTTTTTATTTTGATACAGCACACTGCAACTTCTCTCGTTTACATGGCTGACAAGCTTTGGGAGTTTGCACAAAGAATGAATGGATCTGGCTGGCATTCACACCCAAGTTCCCGTGAAAGGTAAATTTTGTATTACTCAGTAACAGGATGCAATACATTTTTTTCTTAAAGCACCTGCACTGTCAGTGCACAGAATCAGACCCATATTTTGGTAAAGAAACACTAAAATAGCTAGAAATACTTCTACAGTGACGGCGTGGGAGGGCAGGCTTGCTAAAAAGAATTAAACTTGAGGAAATTTAATCACGAATTCTAGAATCAGTTTTCCCACATAATATTCAGCCATCACGCAGGATCACAGCATGCCTTGACCTGGAAGGGACCCACAAAAATCACCAGGTCCAACTCCTGAAACTGCACAGAATAATCCGAAGTGCCTGAAATAATCCATGTGCCTGAAAGCATTGTCTGGACCCTTCCTAAACTCTGGGAGGCTTGGTGCTAGATGCTACTTATTTGTAATGAAGATATACCCAAAACTGCAATATCGAAAATACTACAGTAGAAATATTGTATTTGAATCACACATAAATCAAATCAATTGCTAATTTAACAGAGAAAAAGTATAATTTGAAGTCAGTAAAGAAAACTTTGGGGTTTGGTTCTCTCTCCTCATTTGTGAAAGAGTGCTATAAAATATTGCGAGCTTAAGGAAGTGCTCTAGTGATACCAGCAGATACATAACGTCTGTTTTATGGAACTGATTATTCTCGGAAGTTCCTAATCTCGTTTAAAAAAAAAAAAATTGCAAATACTGTATTTTATTTAGCGGCATTCGGGCAGGGTCCCCGCAGCAGACGCTGAGCTGGCCAAGGCAGCGGGAACAGGCGTTGAGGAGGGAGCACGGGTGCCTGAGGAGCTGCACGAAACCGCGGGGGCGGGCTGGAGAGGAGAGCATCCAAGCCTTGGCCGAATCCGTACTATCGGGCACAGGTTCTCAGACAGCCCGCAAGCCGCGGAGCCCCACGGCGGCTGCCCCGGCTCGGACCGGGCCCCGCTCGGTTGAGCCCTGAGGGCAGCGCGAACCNGACATGATGGCGGCGGTGGCCACAGCGGCCGCCAGGGCGCGCGAGCCTGTCCGCAGCAGGCCGAGCGGCGAACTCGCGACCGCTCGCGCGCAGCCCCCCTCCTCACGGCAGCTGCGGGCGCGCACATACGCTCGCGACCGGGTGTCCCGCAGCCGGCGCCGAGCGCATGCGCGGCCCTCGCCCCGCCCACCGAGGCCGCGGAGATCACGCCTCCCCGGGAGGAGGAGGCGGGAAGCACCTGGGGTGACGTCACCTGCCCGGGGTGGGGGCGGAGCCGCTCTCAGGTGTCGCGGGGTCTCGGCAGGACCGGGGACTTCGGCCATCAAATGGGTACCCGAGCGCTTGCTGTCACAAAAATCACAGACTCCGTTCGGTTGGGAAAGATCTCCGAGATCATCGAGTCCAACCTGTGGCCGAACATCACCACGTCAACTAGAACATGGCACTAAGTGCCACATCCTTCTCTAAACACCTCCAGACACAGGCTCCATCGCCTCTCTGAGCAGTCAGTGCAGTATTTAATTGTCCTTTCTGTGAAGAATTTCTTCCTAATATCCAACCTGAACCTCCCATGGCCTGAGGCCTTGTCCTCTCGTCCTGTCGTTGCTTGCCTGTAAGAATAGACTGTCCCCCTCCTGGCCAAAACCTTCTTTCAGGCAGGTGTAGAGAGTGATAAGGTCACCCCTGAGCCACCTCTTCTCCAGGCTAAACACCCTCAGCTCCCATCAGCAGCTCCTCACAGGACATGTGCCCAGCATCACTGCCTTTCTCTGGACATGCTCCAGCATCTCAGTGTCCTTCTGAACTGAGGGGCCCAGAACTGAATTCAGTATTCGAGGTGCAGCATCACCAAAGTGCATGCAGGGAGACAAACATTGCTCTCGTCCTGCTGGACACACTACTCCTGATGCAAGCCAGGATTCCACTGGCCTTCTTGGCCACCTCCACACTCTGCTGTGCCCACATTCAGTTGACCACTGGTCCTTTTTCACTGGGCCACTTTGCAGCCACTCTGCCTTCAGCCTGTAGTGCTGCATCGCTGTCATATCATGCATGTCACTGAGCGGACACAGCCCCCGAAGGGTGCATGAGCTCTTCCAGCCGCCGGCGAGTCCCTAGCCCGGCTCAGGGTAGCACCCCCGGCGATGTGCCTCGCCGGCAGCTACTGGTTCCGAAAAGCAGAAGTGCGAAGACACGGACGTGTCGGACAGACAAATCACAGCGGGGCTCGCTGTTCCGAAAGCAGAAACGCCGTGTCCCGTAGCGATTGCCTCACTGGGACAGAAAGTCCCTTAGGGGGGACACCGGACAAAGCCAAAGGTCGGGCCGGGTCAGAGAGGGCTGCGCGGCGCCGGCTGCTGGGGGACACCAGGCTGTGGCCCCCGGGCAGGCGGGAGACGCCTCGTGGCTCAGCACAGGTCGCTGGAAAACCCCCGGCGCCTTAAAAATGTTTGAATTAGTGCCACAAAGGGGAACTATGTACCGTCTGTGTGTGTGTAAGTATCTGAAGGGAGGGTGCCAAGAGGATGGAGCCAGGCTCCTCTCGGTGGTGCCAAGCAATAGGATAAAAGGCCACGGCAGAAACTGATGGTCAGGAAGTTCCACCTGGATATGAGGAAGAATTTCTTTCTTGTGCGGGTGCCCGTGCAATGGAACAGATTGTCCAGAGAGGTTGTGGATTTTTCTTCACTGGAGACATTCAAGAACCATTTGGACGTAATTCTGTGCGATGTGTTCTAGGATGGCCCTTCTTGAGCAGGGGGGCTGGATCAGACGATCCCTTCCAATCTTCCCCATTGTGTGAGAGGTTACAATGGCTCCCCGCACTCCGGTGACAGTCCTGCCCTCGGCCCGCCGCCTCCTCCTCTTCCGCGGGTTCCTGTCCTGAACCTTAACTCCTGGCACACCCTTTCCCTGCCGCAGCCTTTCCCCCACCCTCAACACGGCTCTCACGGACTGGGAGGTTTCCGTGGAAACTTTTGTATCTGCTCTCTCCCACGCCTGAGGAGCCTCTGCCCTGCAGCGCGCCCCAGCCGCTCCCCTCGGCTCCCCTGCCCGGCCACCACCGGCCCCCGCTGCCCCGACCCCCTCAGAGGGCCCGACACCAGGCGCCTACACGGGCAGGGGCTGGGCGTGTCAACTGTGGTGTGACTGACAGCTGAAGGACAGGATGCCACGGAGAGGGGTGGCATGGACCTAGACAAGCTCGAGGAGTGGACACATGGAAATCTCATCAAGTTTAACAAGACCCAGTGGTCGGGTCAAACCCCAATATCAATATAGACCGGTGTCTGAACAGATGGAGAGCAGCCCTGCCAAGAAGCACTTGGAGGTGCTGGTAGATGAGAGGCAGGACATGAGCCAGCAATGTAAGCTTGCAGCCCAGAAAGCCAACCACATCCTGGGATACTCCCCCTCTGCTCTGTTCTTGTGGGACCCCAAGTGCAGTGCTACATCCAGTTCTGGAATTGCCAGCACAGGAAGGGCTGTTGGAGCAAGTCCAGAAAAGGGCCAACAAGTTGATCTGACAAATGCAGTCCCTCTCTTAAAGGTTGAGAGAATTGAGATTGTTCAGCCTGGAAAAAAAAAGGCTCAGGAGTGACCTATTCATGGTCCTCCAATACCTGAAAGAAGGCTACAAGAAAGATGGATAGATACCTTTTAGAAGGGCATGTAGTGATAGGACAAGGGTGAATGGCCTTAAATTGAGAGTAGGTTTAAATTAGGTATTAGGATGAAGGTCTTTGCTTAGAGGATGGTGAAACACTGGAACAGGTCATGCAGAGAAGTTTTGGTTGCCCCTTCCCTGGAAGTGTTCATAGCCAGGTTGGATGGAGCTTTGAGCAACCTAGTGGAATGTGTCCCTGCCCAATGCAGAGGGGTTGGAACTAGAAGATCTTTAAGATCCCTTCCAGATCATATGATTCTATGATCTACATCTCCTGTGATAACCAAAGTCACAATGCTGAGTGTGGCTGTGCTGTCTCTGCGGTTCTCTGTGTGCTGCCACTGCAGCCCCACGTGCAGCCCCCCTGCCTCCTTTGGGCCTCACCTGATGTTTAAGCACAACAACATGAGCAGCTATTATTTTTGAAACAGACTTGATTTTGAATACCTGCCACTGAATGCTGCTGCATTTCCTTTCTACCACACAGTGCTGGAAGTCCTCTGGCTCACATGCTCCCCCAAGTCCTGGTAGAAAAGCTGGTGTCCTGAATACTGTGGGATTGTGTGATGCCTTGGAAGCACAGCAGATGGGACAGCATGGATCAGTAAGTTCATAATAAGATTTTCCAAGCAACTCAAGGATTGCACAAGATTTTTTTGAACTATGGGTTCAAGCTTAGAAATCAATATAGGCAATATCTGTCTTAGATTTTTTCTGCCTGCATGACTGAGGCACGGGTCATGTCTGTAGTTCTGCAGGTGCTCTCTAGTTAATCAGTGTTCTATGTATGAACAGTTATGAAACAAGCAAATAAGAAAACATTTTTGAATTATGTTTTAAGAGTACAGCAAAGAATCCAAGTGCCCATCCTCAAGGTAAAGATTGGTTTTCATTTGAAGTAGATTTATTGGATTCAATGAATAAAATTGTTCTTTACCTCAGAAAACTTACGTTGCACAAGCTGGGTGTAAGAAAGTAAATAGGTACATACAAGCTGTCTGCCAAATAACATATTTTAATAAAGAAATTAAAATGGACACCTTCCTTACTGATTTTAGACTTTGGCAGGTTTTCCCTGTATATAAACATGCTGACTGATCTGTATTTATAGCATTTATGACATGATGTGCTTTTCACTTGTGCTTGTGATATTTGGGGTTGTAGTTCATTGTGGGACAGCAATGTAACTCCGTTGTTAGGAAAGGGAGTTTTATGGTAGCAGCTACATTTAGAATCTCTAACACAGATCAGTGCCCAGAGACATCTCATGGAAAGCTAAAAATGTTTGTTAATTGTGATTAGAGCTGGCTCAGAAAAGGAAAAACTTGTAAACTAGGGATTTCTAAAGGAATTGCTATTGTTCAGTTTTGGGTTGCTTTTTTTTTGATTGCAAATATGCTGAAAATTCAGCACCAGTTCTCTAGCTTTTAGGTCCTGAGCCCAGGATAGATCCAAGACTACATTTCTAATGGTTTCTGAAGGAGAACTGTATATACAACATAAACCAAGTACACTCATTAGAAAACTTTATTCTGTTGCCAATGATATACTCCCATTCTATATTAGCTGAGCAGCCAAACCCAGATGAACTGCTACAGAAAGTCTTAAGCCCTTGAGACCACATGAGACATGCAAAGAGGGATAACATAGTTGCTGGAAAGTCTAGTATATTTTAGTGTTTTCTATCTTAGTATAAACACAAGCAAGCAATGTTTTTTAATTAAAATCTCTGATTATTTGAGAGGCCTATTGCTGTGCCGACAAAACACTCACCCCAAAGTAGTTGCTATCCACAGTTTTGATTTCAAAATTTACTTTGGTGCCCATGAAGACCAATGCAGTTAATTTTAAATGCTTTTTGTCCAGTGATCTTGGCTGAACTATTATTTTAGTACCAGTCTGGAGCAGACTGAGTGTTTGTTCCTCTGTGTGTACTTTTTTGGGTCATTCACTGGAACTACTTAAGCACCATTTATTGGAAATGATCTGGTTTGTGCTGCTTTTCTGAGAAACATTTTAGATATTGGTAGATGAAGAACAAATTCTTCCCTGAGGTGGTCTTATTCACAAATACACTCCACATCAATTTTAACTGTTAAGGAAGAGAGCTGTAATGTGCTTAAGCTTGCCACAATGTGAAAGGAGGAGAACATGTAATTCCTGATTTAAGTCTTATAGCCCAAGGCCTAAAGCAGAAGAGGATCCTCCCTTCCCTGAACTGGGTAGGACTTGAAATCCAGAAGTGCTGGCCACTCTGCTGGCATCTGGTAGGGAGTAGAGAAGCTGAACGAAAAGGTCCAGTGGTCAGGATAAAACAGATTTCATTTTTATATGCATTTACAGTGCACTCTTTGTATTTCAGACTTTTGGAAGCTGTATTCCTTGCTCAAGTGAACATTAAAATTCCCATTACTGAAAGTGGGTGTTGGTGCACATACCTTTCCTCAGCTATATTATTGCCTTCTCCTGCCCAAAATTGTATTCTAGCTTACAACGAGACGGGAAAGGAAAAAAAAAAAAAAAAAGAAAACACCCAAACCCCCTACAGCAAACCCTTCAAAATGTATGTAGCAAAATGCAAATCCTTATAGCAGCAACAAAAGCAGAAGTGCAAGGGCCTCAAACAAGTTTGCTTTCAGCTAAGGAGGTCTTTCCCATCGGTCAGAAATCTACAACAGTGGGATCCTATTGTCCAGTGTCTGATAAAAACTGGCTCTGTAGTAAAGGTGATTGGATTATGGAACAGAAGGACAATACGCAGCTGTGCCCAGACTGTAGTATACAATTGCTCAGACTGTTGTCTGGAGTTCTATGTAGAAGAAGTTCATGGCCAAGGAAGAAAGGAAATATTAAGAACTATTAAGGAAGTCTTTCACAGTCTAGAGATTTGTGCCAGTCTGTATGGCACTGGAGTCCCATGGTGAAGCTGAAATAATTGTGGAGTATGAAAAGAAAAGGGTAACTGGCAGAAGTGCTGTCACGAGTGAATGGACACACCAGCTGCCAGAAAAGACAGCCAGCCAGAATGTCTGAGGGATAGAAAAACTTTAGGCTCCGCTGTGGCTTTGTGAAACAGCCCTTCCAGCAACCTAAGCTGGTGTGTGCAGTCAGCCACAAAGCCTAATGCCTATGAGTCAATGCAGGGGATGTTTGGTATGGCTATGGGAAGAAAAAAAGAGCCAGTTGCCAAGAGAAAGATGACTCCGAGTTATTATTTTTTTCGCTTGTAGAGAGGATCTTGCTTGCTGAGGATGGTTTGTATCCATTACTTGACTTTCTGTCTCTCTTTCCTTGTTGCCCCTAGCTACAGTGACATTTGTTGAAAACACCATTTGCAAGTGAGAAACTCTAATTCAGTGAGTGTGGCTTAGTGTCATTCCATGGTCCTGGTCAGAAGGTCAATTTTTGCTAGAAATGGCATCTATGTAACTGCCTATAACTGACATAGAGTGTCCACATTGAAAGTTTGTTTAAAGATCATGGGTTTATTAGACTTTAAAACTGCCCCACAGAATGAATAGGGCCTTTCCTTGCTTAGACTGTTTCTAATCCCATAGCTGTTATTTCAAAGAGTTATTTTACATGATGGCATAATGGTTAGGAAGCAGTTTTGGAAACAGTTGTGGAACAGTTCTTTATACTGGACAGTGAGTCTTTCACTCAAGTTGTCTTACAATGGTGAAGTCATAGTACCATGGTCTTGTAACTCATTTCTAGCGCAGATTCTGTATTTTAGTGGTTTCCATGCTTGATTATATGTATCTTCATCTATATTCAATCTTATCTTCCAAATTACAAAATTAGGTAATTTTCTGAATTACAGCTGGAAAGATTGTGATGCACCAGACCACTGTTGTTTGCTAGGAGAAGTTCTGGTAAGAAAATACTGTTTTAGCAGAAGATTTTCTCCTGAGGAGTAACAATAAATGTTCCTATTATAAATTTGTATTCTCAGTTTTATATTCTGGGTTTTTTTGGGTTTCCCAGTATGAGAACAAAGCAATTATGATTATTTTCATGGGTGTAACAATCTCTGAATTGTTTTTGCTTTTTTTTTTTTTTTTGGCCCCAATAGTTCAAAATAAGAGTCTTCAGATTGTAATCCATGTTTGTAATTTATGCTTCTGCATTAGACAAGCTGAAGTACCAATAACAGGAAAGGATTTTCTTGTACTACTCACTGTAATAGTGATTTAAAATATCTCATTGTTACCAACTTCATAGATACTAAAATTTACCATGTGGTGGTGAGCCTTTAACATATATTACAATAATTAGTTCTGTCTTTCCCGTGATAGCAGAGGTAGGTCTGTGCAGGATTTGTGATATCTTTGCCTGTTTTTAAGTTGATGTTAATATATCAAATTTCATACAATTTCCCGTAGAAGCTTGTCCTGTTGAGATAATGAGCAGCCCTGTAGGAGCCACATTCTCTGAGTCACTGTTTTGATGGCAGAGTTCCATGAGTGTGCGGCTCATTTTGCCTGCTGAGATGTCCTTTGGTATGTTATAGAGAACAAGGTGTTCGCACTTGTGTCACTGTGTAAAGGCACTGGATCTTGTAAGGGCATGAAACATTATAGCAAAATTTGCATTGCTTCACTCACTTGGCAAGGCAGGACTGCAACAACCAATGCATCTCTCTTTTTACCTTCAAAGTAAATCAAAAAACAAAGAGGAAAATAGATTTTGCCTGTAGGTGGCAAAGAGCCATGAAGAAATTGTTAATTTTTCAGGCAGCATGATTTCCTAACAAAAACAAATAAGTAGTGCATGTAAATTTTATCTTTCATTTTGAAATTTGAAAATGCCTTTTATAAAAACGTCTTTGCAATTAATCTACTGAAGTAAGGAGTCTTAAAAATCTGTTTTGCATAACAAATATAATAGAGCTTTTGAATATATACTATGTTTCCTTTGGTCCAGACATTTCAAACCTCTAATTCATACCTTTGTGGCATACAAATGGGCTGTTACTGCTAAGCCAGTTTGTTTGTTTTCTCAAAGAAAAGAAAAACTGAATGTAATGTACGGAAAGAAGGATCCATAACACATGCTTTCCAATTGGAATGCTGTCAAGGTCTTTAACATCTTATTTTAGCCAGTGGAACAGTTCCAGTAGTTCAAGTCATGACATGACCACTTACTGGAATGAACAACCCAGGGAGAAAAGTGCCCTTGTGCAGAACGTGCCCAGTATCAAAATGGGTGTATGAAACTCTCTCAACCTTTAAATTGTATACATTTTTAATTTTCTTTTTCTCCTACTCTCTCACTGTGTGTGAAGACACTGTTTTTCTTTCAAAAACCCTATGGTACCACTCCTGGAGCAGATCTCTGCAAGTTCTTCAGTGGCTGACTTTCTAACACAGATTTGCAGTAAGGAAAAAATGTTACAAAGAGATAAAGAAAGTATTTTATTAAGATTGTATTTGTCAAGAAATATCCCACAGGGTCACTTCAACATCTCAGGTAACTTCTAGCTCCCATTCTCTTACACTAATTTTTTGAAGCTCTATTCACTTGAAAATAATTTTCATTGTCCAAGATGGCTGCTTTCTTCATACCAGCCCTCTCAAGCACTGAGCAGTAAAAGGTAAGGTGCAGAGCAAAAACAGAGATGTTTGGGGTTTTTTATTTGTTTTGTGCTTAAGAAAGACCACTTCAGTTTTCCCTTTTGTTTTTTCTTACTTAAGAAAGAACATTTAATTGAATCTGGTGACTAGATTCCTGAAAATGATACTGTGTGGAGAGGATTAAGAGATACAACTGCCGTAAGCCTATATCTGCATTCCCTAAGAAGTTGTTACACTAACATGTATGTCATAATCAGAACAGTCCAGATTTCCCTTTGCTTCTCAACACATTGATAATACCTTATACATACTGTTATCAGAAGTTATAAATGCACAATCTAATTTCTAGATTCAGAATATATTTTTGCTGGTAAATGCCATACAAGGAACAATATGGCAGCAGCAATGATGAATGATAAGTGGGATGCATTATTTGTGAAACTCTGCCACATGCACAGTCTTTGTCCTAGGATTTTTTCTGAGGAGCATCACGAGTTGTGTGATGACAGTATTTCTTTTCTCAGAAAAGGTGGTAAGGATAACTCTCACCTAAATTCCAGAGTTTCAGCCTTGGAAAGCAGGATGAGGCAGACAGCTGGAGGTGACTGCATCAGTCATTACAGCTAATTCTGCTGTCAAATATGCATAAACAGTGTGCAATATTACTATTGAATCTACACAATTCTGTCACAGCAAGTGGAATAAATCCTGAATATCTTTGTACAGGAGGCTCCAATGAAACAATGCAAGGATTATGTTTCTAAAACATAAATATGTATGATTTCAGGGTGACATTAAAACTTTCCCATCTCTTTCTTTTACCTCTCACTTTCCTGAGATAGGAAGAAGTGAGGGTGCTTTGTTCACACAGAGAAGTAGTCATTTATAGGTTTGATAATCAATCAGATTAATGAAATCTATGCTGCAAGTTATAGCCCTCTGGTTATCTAACTGGAAACTTACATGCACAGCATTTTATAAAATTGTTTTTCTAATGGAAATTTCATAGATATATACCTTTAAATCTACCCTTCTAACTCAATATGATAGAAATCAAATTAGGTAAAATTATCAAGTGCTGAGCTATATTTTTTTTGACAATTTAAAAGTATTTCTATAAAAAGTAAGGCAGATACTTTAAATGATCATGCAGATAACAGCATGATTAACTCTTGGAAATTTACTTCTTTCATCACAACATGGCATTATTAGGAGACATGGAAATAAATATTTTTGCTTTCACTAATCTGTGCAAGTCAGCAGACGGTGGTTAAGAAGTCTCTGTATATTGTTCAGTGTTCCATTTGTATGCTTATACTTTGTGCATAATACTTGTGTATATAAATATCATCTGCTCCTGCTGTCCTCCCACAGAGCACTTCAATGTACAGGGTATTTCCTTTGTATTTCAGATATCTCAAGGGCTGGGGCTCAGAAGAGATGCTCAGCACTTAGAGATGGTACATAAGCCACTCACCAAAGATACACACATCTAAAATAGCTGCATTTCAGCTTGTTCAAAAGTGTAACTGTGGGGGAAATGTTGAATAAGGTGTGTGGGTAGAAATTCTCTCTTTTAGGCATACACTGTTTCCTCCACAGTGTATCAATGGGTTACCTTGGGCAGAAGGCAGTTGCAGGCAATTAGTGTCACTTACTTGACCTTGGCTGAAAAGAGCATCCCCTGTACAGCAGTTGCTAATATGCCTCCACAATAGAGCTGCGTGGGAATGTTCAAAGCAGCATTAATCCTAAGGCATCATGTGAACATTTCTTAAAATACTCGAGCACTCTTTTCAGCATGTTCATATGGCGGATGCTCTCTCAGCTTTGGGCTATGTTTGCTTTGGCATGCGCCTTGAGTTTTCAGTTTAAATTTCTGTCACAGTGTAAAAATCTCTTATTCCTGTAAGGCCAACTAACCATGCTAATTTGTACAAGACTGTAGAAAAGAGACTTTAACAATGTGCAGACTTGATTCTTCTCTTGCAGCAGTGAAATTTCAAGATTTAGAAATAATTTAATTAAAAATACATTAACATAAACTATGACCATACAGTCCACACCATAACATTTAAAAATTATATAAATTCTTTGTATCTAATGATTCCCTTGAGTAATCTGTCCTCATAGTAGCTCCTGTTGGGAAGTTCTCCTTGTTATGATTCTGTTCTAGCAGCATTGTTGAAGTGAGACAGATTATTAAAGTGGCTGGTGATTAGCATGAAGTCACAGTACATTTTCTCTTTAAAGGGAGTGCACCCTCACATCTGAAAGTAAGGCAGTGTTTTTGCTAGTGAGAATTTCATGGTCAGAGGAGAAGCCTTAATTGAGCACAACAAAACATTCTCAAAATTTCCAGTGAATGGGAAATTAGCTTTTGTAGTCATGTGTCTTCCAGAAATTCAAGTATGCTTCCCCTGGAATCTTGTCTGGGATTACATTACATGTTCTTAATCCAGATGTTTCAAATGCTTTGGAAACAATGAACTATTATTATTGTCACAATAAATTCATCACATTTCCTTCTAGAAATGTCAGAGGGAGGGGGAGTGCTTAGGAGTGCACATCTCTAGGGAGCCTTTCGGTGTTCTCTCTACTGGAGTCTGAAACCTCCCTAGACAGATATGTTTAGCTTCTCCTAATGGTGGTCAAATCAGAAAATTACTCTAGTCCTGCCCATTTAACATTTACTGATATATAGTATCTGGACTATGTTCCCAGACTATTCCTTAGTTAAATTTACTGTCTTTTTATGCCTCATAATTATATATGAACTATATATAGCATATGACATCCCTAAATATGTGATTCCATATCTATAACGTAGTCTCCCCATACACCTTGTGGAAATTTAATTTGCAGTCTGAGATAGAGAGATGGGGCCTATTCTCCATAAGAAGAGACTGAAGTGTCATCCAACAGTTTGCAAATCTTGGCTATGCCCTTCCAGAAATATTCCTTGAAGTCTGAAGCTGCCTGTACATACACCTGCTTGCCCTAGCTGAGATTCTTGTTACCCCCAGAGCACATAATATATGCTTGTTTCTTATGCACCTACTTTTAAATACACAGAAATGGCTCCAATAATTATTATTTTGCTGTATAAGGCTAGTTTTGTGACGGACCCACAGTCTGTTAATCTGCTCATATTGTAGATGCATGCAGATATGTTAATGTTCCTGTAGAGCTGCTTAAGTAAATTTTTTTTAGAATGGGTAATCCTGTTGTGTTTGGGGAATATGTGGTTTTCCTAAAACACCAATTTCAAAAGCTCTTTAGCCTATTATAGCTAAATAGCATTTTAATGAAGCATGTTTGTTACACTTACCAACAACAAATATCAGTCATGTAATGAGTAATAAGCAAGTTATTTCCATAGTAAATACTTCACTGTGTTGTTACCATCCTTCAAACGGCATTGTACCAGCTCTGCTGCGTTATAAATTCAGATTGGTATCAGACAAACATTTGGATCTTATGTCCTAATATAAATATTTATTCTTCTGTTTGCAAATGAAAAATAAATTCTTAAAGAAAATTATTGCTGAGGTTTCAATTTTAAATTTAGAGTTTTTATTTTATTTGAACAGAAAACAGCAGGGCCATCTGCAGGTATAGGCAATATAGGTAGGTTGCCTATGGATGCAGCTGTTCAGGGTGGCAAGACAGCCCCAAGAAAGAGCAGCCAAGTTCCGCTCTTTCCTCTGCCAAGGCCTTTCTTCTGTGGATACAAAGACCATGCATTTGAGCTGTTCGTACCATGTGAGCAACTGATCTCTACCTCATGACAGTAAACTCGCTCAGCCTAAGTAATTAATACTTTTATACTGTAAGGATATATGTGTTACATATCCATATCCATATCCATACATATAGTATGTGTGTGTGTGTTTTACACTCACTCTAAGAGTGAACATGCATCAGCAACAGTAGCAAATCTGACCTTCTGAGCCAGTCCTATTTCTGTCCCTTCCTTTGCCAGAGCAGCTGAGCCCTGGAAGCAGTGGAAGAGGTGTAAATGATGACATGTTTGCTGCTTGAGAGGTGAGGAGTGTGGGCAAGGAGAGGAACAATCTCCTGAAACTAGAGACTGGAGAGCTTAGATCCAGTGACTGATGAAGTAGGCGTCTTAATTCTACACCTGGTCATCCTGAACCTTGCTGGATGGTCTTGACAATAGATCTCCCTACACCTCCCTCTCCTCTTTCCTCCATGCTCTTTTTCATGCACATCCACGTTCTATAACCTTCACGTTCTTTTGTATAGACTCTAGTTCTGCTGAAAAATTCAAATTTTCCTGTACATGGAGAAGCCTTGAGTCAGCTCCAGGAACAGGCTACTTGAAATTTTCCAATCTATTAAGCAGATGACATCAGGTTGTATGTTCACTTCAAATACGTGAGAAAGAAAAACTCCAAATAAAGGAAAAACTAGTCTAAAGATACACCTGTAGTAAATGAAATTTTCACATTCAGAATGGATGGCATCATGATGTGTATTTGGCATCAAACACTATCCTGTATGCCATGGCACAGCCATACTTTCTGTGGCCACTACAGCTGCGCCTCTACCTCTGTCCCCACAGAGGAGAAAGACTGACATTCTGCAGCTCCATCCATGGTGAGAGGCTGAAGAGAAAAGGCTGCAGCACATGCTCCTTCCCTCAGCACTGCTCTCCCCCTTCATGAGCAAACTGCTGAAGAAAATGGGAGTTGGCTCATCTCTGAGGTTATTGAGAGGTTATGGAATCTAGAAGGAAGAAGTCCTTCTTCAAACACACTGCCTGACCCTATCATCCAAATCACTAAATATTGCTGTGTTAACTGGTGGTGCTGTGAAATCTTTTTATAAGTTAGTGAAAGATCTGTGTTACCACCCAACAGTAAAGGTAGTAAAGCCTTCCTCAGCCTATAATAAAGCATACATAAACATTCTGTAAGCAACAGCTACAATAATGCACTTGATATTCCATCATAATTGTAGTCTGCAAAAATGATTTAACTGGTAAATTTGTCAGCATTTATACCCTGTTTTCTACTTCTGATGTTTCTTTCCACACTCCAAAACACTCAGAGGAAAGCCACCACTGCTAAGTTTAGACTTTTCTGTCTCTTCTTACTGTGAAAACTCTCAGGGCCAGCTATTTTCGACTTTTTCTCCTACAAGCTGTTTCTATTTCCCAACTTAAGATCACTAGTTTAAAGATAGCACTGATGTAATTGTACCATCTGAGATCAACCTTCATATTCATCTGTTATGAAGCCATCAGTATTCCCTTCCTAGCTGACAGTTATGTTGCTTGTCAACTTGTCATTCCAATTTTCCCTTATATTTCTTTGCACATTCATATGACTCAGAATAGTTTCCCATCCATAAGCCACTTATATATAACATCACTTCTGTTTCTCCTTAACTCAACTCCTTATGTCCTGCCACAGCCATATTTGATCACGACTAACTGCTTTTCTTGACTGTCATTTTGAATAATTATTATTTTGCTTACTTTGTCTTCCTGTACTCTTTTTTACATTATGTGGTAAAACATAATTTTATAGATTTGGAGCTTATCTTATTTCTTTGCATCTAATAGTCTTTTTTTTTTTTTTTTAATAAAAGAGTAAGTTTTAAATCCAGTTTTGGACATTCTATTGAGTTCCTAGCAAAATAAATATCAGGTTGTGAGTGGAACTCTGCAGCAGCACCAAAGCAGGGTTACACATAAAGGTTCACTGTTCTGCTTTACATGCCTGTTTTATTCTCAGGGTATTCACATAAAGGCTTGGGGACTTTACCCTCTTTTTTGCTCACAAAATAATATTTTGCTTTTAATTTCTTGCCATGATTAGCAAATCGTGCCTTGGAAGGGATCCTGTTAATTTGTCTTACTCTTTGTGACAGTGATTCCTGGTATTTTTTTCCCTGAACAGGAATTCAACCCACATCTTTCACACACTGCTATGATTATGTGTGCTTTCCTCTGAAACATTCACCTTTAGATTTCCAGTTTGCATGACACTTTTGTTACACATAAAAGACCACTTGCTAACATTTTCAAACCCTTTCTGAGTCTTAAGCCTCATATTCTCAAAATTAAGCAACCTCCTAAATGACTGGGTTGAACAGACTTTTTTCCCCAAAACTAATTGCTCAATAACACCACTCCGTATTTCTACATAGCCTTAATCCAGGATATATAATAATAGAGATCATTTTACTCTCTGAAATATTATTAATTATTGTGAATCCAGTTTTTAAGTTAAGGAAAACATGGTACAAAAAAAAAAAGTGTGGATTTCACAGGATCAGGCAGATCTTCCTTGCCAAAAATAATATTTTTAAAAGGTTGTCAGGAATAGAACCTTTAACTCTGCTGAAAGCTGTTTGCTGTTGGCATGATAGTCCATGATTGCCTGTAACAGACCAGCTTCTAGCGCAGACATGACTGAAGCATGTAACAGTTGTAGAAGAACATTTTAACAAGGCTTCCTCACCCTCTATCCCATGCTGATATAAACATCCTTAATAAGTACAGTTCATTATTTACTTTCTTTTTGGTAGGCCTTTGCATTTTATAAAAATCTCTCTCTACAGGCAAAAGCATCTTTTACCTGAAGAAGGTAGTCAAGAAGTAGAAAAGGAAAGTACTAACTGTATATTTTTTTAAAAATTCAAAGCAATGCCAGTTATAGTCATTTTGAATGAGAATATCTCTACCAATGCTAATACGCTTACACTGGACTTCCAGCAGAAATAAATTGAGTTATGGGGTTTTATGCAGTCAAATTGAGAAAAAAATTGGCCTACTGTGTCAAAAGTGAAAAACTAACCTTATTATAGATGTTTTTACTTCTTCTTCTGTGCTGTGGTTCAATTTAATTTAATCAAGATATAATACTGAATTAAAATGTTAAAAAATATAATCAGGATTGTCATAGTTGTGTCATCTTCTGCACATCATTATGCAAATAGTAATGTTAAAATACAGCTGTCTTTTCCACTCCTGCACACCATCAGCACAAGCAGAATGTTTTTCCATACTATTCAGCTGTGAGAGGAAGTCTCCAAGGTTTGCCAGTAGCTGAATCCTAATTCATGGCCCAGTTAACTGGAAACTGCAAACTTCCTGTGGTTTCCGTGAGTTCCAGCATGCTTCCCGTTATCTTGCTATGTGGCACGGAGTGTTCTGGTTACCATCAGCAGCAGATGCTTGTGCCCCCCTGACCTGGCCATGGTGGCTGCCAGCCACTGCGGTGCAGTGGAGATTGTCCCTTTGTGCACCAACTGTACACGCCTCTGGATACTCTGGAAATGCAGCAGAGTGCTGCTTCAGCTTTTCAGCACTGTGTCTTGCTTTCTGGACTTGTTACACCATTCAAAGGGGAATGTCTCACTAGGCAGTAGTCTTGAATTTGTTATTAATTTCACCTAGATTAAGACAAAAAGAAATTGAAGCATTTGTTCATAAAAAAAGTTTATATTTGACCTATGTGAGGAACCAAAAGTAATGTGCCCACATATTGTTCATACTATCTCCATCTGATTTACCATACTACCCCAGATGTCAAGACTCCTGTGGTCCAAGGTAACTTGTGTTCGTGTTATATCATCGTAAAATCCCTCTTTTGATGTAGCATGCTATCTGTTATAGCCAATTTTTTGGTAACATTTGAAATCTTCCTGAAGAGGTTCAGAGATATTTGACCTTATTCAACAGATATTGTTTTAATGCAAGAGATACTCTGGCCATTTGAAAGAATTTAAACAAGTGTTGTTTCATTTCCCAGAAAATGTGAATGCCTCTTCATTAGACTGGATGCCTTCCATCCTAATTGGCTGTTTATTTAATGACTGCTTCCCTTAAGAAAGGCTGTATCTTGTCCTCTCATCCCTTTGCTAATTCTAATGTTTCACTATAAAGTGTTTCCTCTATTGAACCTTCATTCTGTGTCAGTCTTTCTACTCGCAGAAAACACCCGATACAATTGTCTTCATGAGGTAAATGTATTTATCTCATTCCTGGGTACTGACTGAAACCAGACACCACAGTAAACTAAGATTCTGGGATGACAATCAACCACATTTCCTGGATTTTTTTAAGTAAGTGATGATTTTGGACCCAGTTTCTAAATAAATCTAAAGTGACATAACTTGCTTTGAATCTAGCGATTGAGGTCAGGGGCTTGCTGTATTTAAAAATGGACAAATATCTGTGTATATGTATACGTATTAAAAAATATATATAATTGTTTGGGTTTTGGTTTGTTTTCTATTTTTTTTTCTTACTGACCAAATGAAAAGGTTAGAAATAAAACCTAATCTTGACCTGAATTTTTGAGTCTTGTCAGAGAAAACAAACATTTTAGGTCAAAATGTTCCTTTGCGATACATTTATGTATTTATATATTGTTCAAATGAAAACAATTGATGACAATTATTTGTGAATCTGACAATTTTGCCCTGCTCCAACTGTACTGATATTACTGGCTAAAGAAATAAACTAAATTTGAGCAGGTGAAAAATATTCATTCACTAGTTGAAACATACTCAAGTCTCAGCAAAATCATCACATTACTAAAATTGCAAAAGAATTGAGTTTTGACAGCTGAATCACTGACTGGAAACAATTAGTCTGAAAAAAAAAAAGCAATTTTTTATAAACATAGTCAGTGGTTTACAGTAAAAGACATTTCCCCAAATAGCTAAAAAAATTCACCGTTCAAATACACTGCCACAGACTAAAGAACTTATACGTCAGCTTTAATGTTTTTATTAAGCACTGTTTCTCCAGCTGTTTGAATGAAGCAATAACCGATGTTTCAAAGTGCACATGTCTCTAATTATGCTGAAAGAAATTGAAAAAAAATCTTCCTCCTTAGCAATCTAAATACATGCATTACTACTGCTACTGGGGAGGGTTGCTTTTTTGTTTGTTTGTTTTTCTTACATATGAGAATAGTGTGAAAAACTCACTACCTCACTAATTACAGCACTGAAACAGTCACAATCACATTTCCTTGCTTCTTCTATTACATTACCTAAAATTTAGCCATTGTTTAGAAAATACAGAAATTTCAACTTCCAAAGTAATTGCATGTGATTGGAGGGGAAAAAAAGGGTATTTGTACGATAGCTCTTGAGCCCAGAGTGAGGTTCCCTCTAGGAGAGAAATTGTGCAATACCAGTTCATCTTCAGAAATGAGAAAATGTTAACCTCTTCCTTTCATTAGCTCCTCATCTTTTAAAATGCTTTGCAAGTTTATTTACAAGTGCCAACTAAGTTTCTCCACTAATATAAACACGTAAAGCTTAGACATCTAAATTTCCTTGACAATTTTCTTGCAAATTCCACTTTTCCTCTTCAGCTGTTGTTATCCATTGAGATTGAGATTTAGTTCTGTAGTATTTAAAAAATAAAATTTTAAAACTATCATTGGCTAACTTGGACAAGAATGTAAAACCAGCTGGTGATTGTTCTAAATTCTTCCATATTTTCGATCCTCTGTAATTAAAACCATTTTTTATCATATTTGCTCTACTTGGGGAAAAAAACCCAACTTTTCAACATGTTAACTTTTCCTTACCCATTATCACTAAAATAATTGAATGCTAACATTTTAAAGCCATGGTGTACCTTCAAGTCCAAGTTTGTTGTAATTTATCTTAATCTATTATTCTCTATTATTATTCTGTATCACATTTGGGTACCACCATATCTACTCTTAATATAAGGCCTACCTATGAAACACATGCATTAAGGTGCTAAATACCTGCATATTTTGCAGGCAGGTTATGCAGAAAGAGTGAAGGGATCCCTCTGGCATGTGATAACAGCACCTCCATCAGTCTCTACTGAATATAGTTTGCAGTTTGCAAAAAATAAATAAATAAAAATAAATGCATTAAATATCAAAGTGTCAGGTTTATTTCACAAGCATGTAACAGTTTCTTTATAATTCTGTGAAGAATTTGGACTTTTCTGAACAAATTCTATTCACTGAGTAAATAGAAATTGACTCCTCATTGCCATGAACATGAACATTTTAAATGAGGTAGTGAGAAGCAAAAGTCTTTTCAAAAATGTTAAACATAATTTTCTGTTCAAGCTGCAGTTACCAAAAATCTTCTAGGATTTGAATCCAGGGAATTTGAATATATCTGGTTTCAGGGGATTTCATCCTTTCCCCTTTTCACTTAATATATGATTGGAAAACTAGATCATAGTTTTAAGGCACTGGAGGTATTCTAATGACTTCAGTACTGTTTTGGGCCTGAAATATAAACCAGTTAAATACAAATCCATTTGTTTCTGGTGTTTATTGACATGATCGTATTTTATTTTTTTTTCTCTTAAGTCTACTGACTGCATTATTGCTATTTGGAATACAGTGCATTAATTATTTTCTCTTTACTAATACTTGTCCACTATTGTAGTCATCTTCAGAATAGTCAGTAAATAACACAGCTTGCAGATGAAATATTCCTTAAAAAGAAGATGCTGTAATGATCTTGTGCTCAGTGATACAGCAAATGAATGGTATTTAAAAGGTATTGGAACTGTGAGCTGCATGACCCAATTTGAGAGTGGATACTGCAGGATACAAACTGGAAGAAAGTGCTTCTTCTAGTGAAGGGCTCTTTGAGAGGTGGTAGGTCAGGGGTGAAAGCGCTGAGCCCTCAAGTGTCTTCATCTGCTGTGGTTCATTTATTTTGCACAGCCCTCTGGCTAAAGACTAGTCATTACTGGTCTATAGCCTCCCTCCCAAAGCTCAGTCACTCGTGATGTGTTTTCTACCACATACCAGGCTCTATTCTGCTTCTTCCAGTTATTAGTCTGGATCTTATCCAACCACCCACCGTCTCTCACTTTGAATCATTGGATAGCCTTGGTTGGAAAGGACCTTAAATGCTATCTATTTCCAACTCCTCTGCCATGGACAGGGACGTCTTTCCTAGACCCGGTAGCTCAAAGTCCCATCCAGCCTGGTCTTGAACACTTCCAGGGATGGGGAATCTACAGCTTCCCCAGGAAACCGGCTCCAGTGCTTCACCACTCTCACAGTAAAGAATTTATATTCCTAATATCTAATTTGAACCTATTCTCACTTTGAACCCATTCTCCCTTGTTCTGTCACTACACATACTTGTAAAAAGTTTCTCTCCGTATTTCTCGTAGGCTCCCTTCAGGTACTAGGCGGTCACAATTAGGTCGCCCCTAAGCCATCCCTTTTCCAGGCTGAACAATCTCAATTTTCTTAGCTTTTCCTCACAGGAGTTTCTCAACCTGTCCACGGCTTTCTCCCCTGCCTGCACTGTCGGTCACGCACTTCATCCTCCCAAATCTTTCCCCGACACGGAAGCAGGCGTCACATTCTTTCGCACCACAAAGCTCACCTGACAGGGCTCATTAACATAGTAAATCATTAAGGAAGCAAACGCAGTACATCACTCAGCGCCGCGCTGTTTATTTATCTGCATTATCACAGCGACTGCCGCAGCTTTTCGGATCCGCTATGGAATTCGGCGCGCTCCAAGGGCGCCGCACACACGGCGCTGTGGGCACGCCCGCAGAATGAACAGGCCTCCGAGACCGAACTGGGACCGAACACCACCGTGTCACCAAGTGCCACGTCCAGTCCTTCCTTAAAACACCCCTGCTTCTGAGATTTCAGTATCTAATCACCTTTCCTGAGAAGAAATTCCTCCTAATGTCCAATCTAAACCTCCCCGCTGCAGCTTGAGGGGGTACGCGAGGGTGAATGTCGCAGTCAGGTGTGGCAGCGGGGTAACTTCCCGCACCTCCCCGACTCCCACTGGCCGACTCTGCTTCCCGCCCCGCCCCGATCCGATCCGACCCCATCCGATCCGATCCGACCCCATCCGAT